CGTTGCCATGCGATGAATCAATGCGTTGCACTTCCGAGAATGGAGAGTGTCGAGGCTGGGCTGGAAGATGCACCTGGCAAGTGTAGCCCGAGCCGATTTGCTGTCCCAAGTCAGAGGTGATCAAGGCCATGACCTGGATGGAGGGGCTGACATAGTGCTCAGGAAGGACGAGAGGCGAGGAACGGAATTCCTGCAAGCTCGCCAGAGCCAAGTCGACCTCAGCCGGCAACGAGCTCGAGGGCTGCGACATCGTTGCTCGAAGACTTGCGTAGATTGAAAGAACAGTGAAGGGACTTCCGCTCGGGCCAGCTGCAATGCCTAGTGAAGAAGAAGCAAAAGCTGCTAGCTGTGTTTGGTCAAGGCTTAGCAGCAGCCTGAGGCGCTTGTTTTGATGATCGAACACGAACAGTCCACAGCTGACTCGCACTTCGGCCTAGACTGCATGCACTAGTTTCGCGGCGCGAGGTTCGCCGATTGGGTCGTTGGCGATGCCACACGACTCAGGACGCCTTAGGCAGTTTGGGCTTCCACATCGTCTGCCTCTTGGAAGCGGGAGGTGTAGGCGGCTTGGGAGGCGTCGAGGTTGTAGTAAAAGAAGACGTTTCACTCGCCCATTGACGCTTGCCGACGCCCGAGGTGTGCTTTCCAGTGGTAGGTGTCGTAGAAGCCGATCCGCCAGCCGTCATCTTTTCATCTTTGTTAACTGGCTGAGAGCTAGATGGGCCATCTAGTTCTTGACGGGCTGCCCACAGAAGATGCTCGTAGAGCTGCTCCTGGGTGATGCCATATTGGGTCCCCGACATGGCCAAGCAAAGTAGGCTCGGGAATCCGAAACAGCAACGCAGGTCGAGTCACAACGGCTCAGACAGGCGAACTCTAACTGGCCAGTGAGGAGTCAACTAGCGAGCAGTGAAAAGCATCCGCGGCAGAGACTCATGCAAGCGCGAACCTAGCGGCGGGTCTCTGCTCTTTTAGCTGTGTGTACGCGTATGTGCGAAAGACAGCAAGGAGTAGAAGCACATGGCCAGAAGTAAAGGCGCTTCCCGCGTGCAACTCTCACATGCCTAGTGCAGTGCAGTTGCAGCTCTAAAAGCCGGGAAGATCAGAGTAGGCGTTGCCTCCTGGATCAGGCGTTGCCTCAGAGATGCGAGTTCAGCTGGCCGTCGGGAGTCCTCGAGCCTTACGGGCCAACGTTCCCTGCGGTCGTTTGCCCAGCGTCTCACCTTCAAAGTCCTCGATGAGTTTGGTGTACGTTGAAACGTGAGCCAGCAGCGTACTGTGCATTTTCAAGCGTATCTCCAGAATGAGGTGGGTCTTCTTGGCATTGGCGCGAGCTGAGAACAAAGCAAGCTCATGGTTCATAGCCTGCTTGCTGTCCGGGTCATCTAGAATGAGAGCCAAGGCAGCCGTAAAGGCTTCCCATGCTGCCAGGTCTACTGTCTCCTGGAATCCTTCAGGAACGGAAACACCGCGGCGGCCACCGCTGCCGTGGGTGAGCCAGAAGTTCCGGCTGGCCTGGTTTGTGCTCCTTCAGCCATCCCTGAATGGCGTCGAGAGCCGTAGTTGCCAGCGGCCCTTCCAGGGGGAGTTTGTGAACAACCGAGATTGATTGAGGATGCTTTGAATCTCATCATCGTGCGCAAGAAAAGCACGGGTGAGCTCCTGCACCGAGAGAGCCCGGATCGTGCCACGTACGCCCTGAGACGGTGCCGAGGCCGCCTTCGCCGCGGCCTCGAGGTCGCGGCGCGCGCGCTTTTCCGGCTTTGCCGGGGGCGAGGAGTTGCCGGCCATGAGCATGGAGCTACGTCAGCTGTACAACTTGAGCAGCAAAACTGAACAACAGCGTTCCTGCTCCCTGCCGTGTAGGCAGGTCGGTCCCACGGAGCCAGTGAGTCGCCCCCTCCCTGTAAAAGGAAGTGGGGGCCCCTGGCCTCTGGGGAACCCTCAGCTTAATCTTCTAGAATGTGGACTGGCATGGGGCCAGCCTCCGCTGTGTGCGGTGATGAACCAAGTCGCACTAACAGCATATAACAGCCATGGCGCGCTTGCCTGAGATCAGAGTCTGAGGCCGGAACTGATGGACGGCCATCGTCCGTGCTGAGCCAAGGTTGATCGGGTTTGCTCCTCCAGAGGGAGCGATAGTGTCCGCTGTGCGGAGTGTCACCAATATGAAAAACACAGGACTGAACCCAGCCAGGCTCTAATTGAACGGAGCCATCAGGGGCCCACTGCGGGAGCTGGATGGGGCGATTTAGGCCCGTTACAGCATAGCTGAGCTTGCGACCATCAACGAATCGTGCCACCGAGAGAACTACCAGCCGTTGCTGTCCCCGAAAGGCAGCACACACACTGGCTGACCATACCACCGACGGACAAGCGCCTGAAGATCATGAGAGCCGGCTGTCAGCGGGGCCGGCAGCAACGCTAGCGGACCACCCGCATCAGTTACTTCCGTTGTGTGCTCGTCCCTTACTTCCCAGGGTCTTGCGATCGGAAACTCTGTGATCCCAGCGAACAAGGCTACCAAAAACTCCGAAGCGTCTTGTTGTTGACCATCATAGCGCCAGGTGGGAGTAAGATGGCGGAGTGTAAAAGAGGCAGTCAGTGTAAAAGGGGAACCAGAGGCTGAGTCAGCGACTTCTTGGTGGAGGGAGGTGCTAGCTCTTCCGTGCTCAAGCAGGATGCGCGTCGGCACCAAGGCCGAAAGCGTAGAATTGATGTAGCAGTAGTTAGAGATATTGCGCAACGAGCGGGGAGCAACAGATGTTCCATCCTCGGATCCCGCAGCTTCCGGACGCGGTGACGTAAGTCCTGCAGGCGTTGCCTGGCGCGAGCGTGCCAAGCTCGCAAGAGTCTAGCTGTTTCCAAAGTGAGGCCCACATCTACCAACCCAGAGGCCACTGTGGCCCAAACGGTGCTATGCCAGATGTGCAACCTCGATGTCGGCCCTGCAGTGCGTCTGTTGTGAACAAAGCGACGCACTTGTTGCAGCTTGGCATTGCCCTCCTGCAGCCGAAATTTGAGAGTAGCCTTCTCAAAATTAGAGTAGGAGAACATGACTCCAAGGTATTTAAAGGTCGTCACCATAGGAAAACCCTCGTGAGACTTAGATTCCCCCAGCCGCCACATCTTGTGGCGAGTCCCGTCAGGCGCGGTGCGCCAATACGTGTGCTTGGACATAGCGCGTTGCGCCTGCTGGCCCTCGAGTTTGACCATGACCGTGCACTTGGCACCATTAACTGCAAAGCCATGGCTGCGGACCAGCTGCAGCAGCTGCTCAATCAGGACATGAGCACGGTCAAAAAAACAACAACAACAACAACAACAACAACAACAACAACAACAACAACAACAACAACAACAACAACAACAACAAGGTACAAACAAAAACTGCAGCCCCGTCAACCCATATGTCTGTACATTAGGTAGAGACAAAAACAGGAGCCCCGTCATGTTGTTTTACCCCCCCCCCCCCCAACAACAACAACAACAACAATACCACAGTGCCTGTGGATGCCTGTCATGTATACTGTTTGATGTGTGTTTTCAGTGGATTTGGTGTGTAGTTCAATGGATTTGGTCTGTATTTCAATGGATTTGGTGTGTATTTCAGTGGATTTAATGTGCATGTCGGTGGATTTGGTGTGTATTTGGTGTGTATTTCAGTGGATTTGGTGTGTATTTGGTGTGTATTTCAGTGGATTTGGTGTGTATTTCAATGATTTTGGTGTGTATTTTCAATGGATTAGGTGTGTATTTCAGTTCCCCGCCGTGCAGAATATGCATTTGCGAGGCCTGTACAAGCTACTGTAAAGTAACTAATAACTATAGTTTTGAGTGTACGGGTATCCAATGCAAATCCCTCAAAATTCCAGACAAGCCCTTCCAACACCCATCAGAACCCCTTTCTGGATATCGCAGATTCTTATACCTGTGGTGGAAATGTGGTGTAATGTGGGCGGTTGTTGTAAAGGGGGGGTGGTCAAAACAACAGACGGGGCTCCAGTTTTTGCCTCTACTATAGGGGGTAGAGACAAAGTCCTGATTTCGCTGGTGCCTTTGTCTCTACCCCCTGTAGTAGAGGCAAAAACTGGAGCCCCGTCTGTTGTTTTGACCCCCCCCTTTTACAACAACCACCCAGCCTACACCGCATTTCTATCATGGGGCAGGCATGGCTTGAACTTCCCAAACTCTACAGGCACCCTATGCGGTCGCCGGAAGCATTCCCAATTGCTTCTAATTAACAACAAGTACGGGCTGCTGTTTTTGTCTGTACCAACAACAACAACACCAGCAGCAGCAGCAGCAGCAACAACAACAACTACTACTACTACTACTGCTACTACTACTACTGCTACTACGGCTACTGCTACTGCTCTTGCTCCTGCTACTGCTACTGCTACTGATACTGCTATTGCTAGTGCTACTGCTATTATTATTACTACTACTACTACTACTCCTGCTGCTGCTACTACTACTACTGCTACTACTTCTACTACTACTACTACTACTACTACTACTACTACTACTACTACTCCTACTGCTCCTTCTGCTCCTTCTGCTCCTACTGCACCTACTGCTCCTACTGCTCCTACTCTGCTCACGCTCCAGCTCATGCGACCACTGCTACTGTTGCTGCTACTCCTACTGCTACTGCTACGGCTATACTGCACTGTATTGGCTGCTCATCATCCTCATCAGGAGCATCACATCGTTCATACACTTGTACAAACGATTACAATAACAATAGACATAATGTAGTATCTATTTTTGCTGCGCTATAAAACGAAGATCATGAAGAGTACAATTGAGAAGAACAACAACAACAATGTAAAAAAAAACATAACCATGACAGTCATAATCGTCATAATACCCATTATCAAAACACTCATAAGACCAAAAAATAAGAAGAACAGCATCAATACTTGCAAAACAGATTAATAATACTCATGATTTTATTAATAATACTCATGATTTTATAAATACCCTCCGGTCCCGGCCATGGTCCAGATGAACATCATGGACACAGAGGAAGGCAGCTGCAGAGCAAAGCGGAGCTGTATCCTGCCACTTTGGACGGAAAAGGGCCGAGAGAAAACGGGGTTTACAGTTTAGGGACTTTGGGCGGAAAGGGGCGGAGAGCAAAAGGGTTTAGAGTTTAGGGATGTTGGGCGGAAAGGGCGGACTTTGGGGGGAAAAAGGGCTGACGGTCCGCCGAAAAAGTACGCGGGATCAGGATTTTGGTGTTCAGGGTTTGGGTGTGCTGGGGTTTTGGAGTATGGGCGTTGCTGGGGGCGGGAAGGCCTCACGTTGAGCTTGGGGATGCCTGGACACTTAGACTTCCGGTCACTGTCGATAGGGTTTAGGGTTTAAAGATCTGATCCTACCAGTAGGGGCTCGGGGATTATCGCCCCAAGCATAGACCCGCTACCCTTGTGCAGCCCGAAAAAAGCAGCCAACAGCTGAGGTCCCGATCAAGCCGAAGAGTACGACGCCCAGTTGGATGGCGACCTTGGCTTACCGCAGCTTCGGGATCCTGGAGAGGTGTAGGGTTTAGGGCTTCGGGCTTACCATAGCTTGGGATCAGTTCAGAACATGTTGAAGGATCTCTTAGGGTTTGCTCGGGTTCTATGGACGTTTGAGGGTTTAGGTTAGGGCTGTAGCGTTTGCGGCTTTAAGGCTTTGGGGTTTCAGAGCTTAGGAACTGGCCTCAGTCACCACAACAAGAAAGTATGGAATGTGCCGCACATTCCTGCGACAATCGCATAAATTATGTTCCGTCGTCGCAAGCCAAGTTCGGAAGCTGTGGGCTTCAAGTTAAGTTAATGTACATGTCTCACTGATTCGAGAAGGGTTCGATAGGGTTCGACAGGTAGTTATATGATAGCACATAAAACAATATTCAGGAGCCCTAGGCAATCATGCAGGGCTTCTGCATTGCGGGTTTCCGAGACGAAGCACTCACCCAACCCGAGCCTTCTGCAAGCACTTCCCTGTCAGAAAGCTTGGTCATAAACGAAATTTCGAGACTTCAAAGCGCAGGCTTAGGGTTCAAGGTTTGGGGTGCCAGAGGTTGGTGGGCCCTACACCCCCCGTACCAGCACCCCTACCCGAAGACACACTGCATCGCAGTGCACATCAAGTAGGTCTGGTATTTCTCGTACCCCATAAAGAAACCTAGTCGTCAACGCTACATGCATCAAAATTCCGGCGCACTGTATTCAGCCACCAACCCTGCACAAAGACAGTAACATCTGTAGAACCTTACAAAACTATTGGCACACTGACAAAACCTTTGGACAAGCTTACAAAACCACTGGCACACTCACAAAACCTTTAGACAAGTTACCAGTTTCCGGCTGATGCTCCAGCGAGCACTGGCCAACTCCTTCCAGGGATTGGGTTTATGAACTTAAGAGTTTGGGACTTAGCTTATGCACTCATGCTTTAGGTTTTAAGCGTGTAATTAGAAAGCTGTTAAGATTTAGGGCTTCGGATTCAGGGTTTAGGGTTAATTAGTTGTAAGGTCTGGCATCTCCTAAACTATGGGAATTATGGTATATTCCTTATTATGGGTAATGCAGGATTTATATCATCAACAGTAGGACCGCAATTACATAGCACTATCCTTATTCGGCTCGGGGACAGGAGCCCCCGTCTTCCAGGGAGCCCCGTTTTAGCTCACCGTTGTGCACTTTGCAAAGCTTACAGTAGAAGCCAGAAAGTTGGAATATCATTATCCTAACCCTTCTATGGCAAATTATAGGGTATCCTACCATGAAACCATATTCCAACTTTCTGGAGTTCCCCATATTCCAACTTTCTGGAGTTCCCTATAAGCCTTGAGGTTCGGGGTTGGCCCCGAACCCGGAAACCCCCGAGTCCCACAAGTCGTAGAAGCATAAATCTTGAAGCCCTTTAACGGGAACTCCAAAAAGTTGGAATATGGATTAATGGTAGGATCCCCTATAATTTACCTTAAAGGGCTACGATAATAATATTCCAACTTTCTGGCTTCCACTTTAATCTCTATGCATCCCAGGATGACCTTAAACCCGTGAACGCCCATACATCCTTCTCAGCCCAAGCCCTCGAACCCTGCGCCCCAATAATTTCGCACCGGGGCAGTTGCAGGGTTTAGGGTTTGAGGTTTCGGGTGTGGGGCTTGCGGTTTAGCCTACTTGTCGGGTATCATGGGGAACTCAAGGTTAACCTTTTTGGTTATATAGGAATTATGGAGGGGCTATACTACCCAAAAAAGGTTGAAGGTTCCCTACTCTACTACTAGGTTAGGGCTTGGGGTTTAGGGTCAGTTTGGAGATGTCGGTTCAAGCGATCGGAAAACAAAACCCTAAAGCCTGAATCCTTAAGCCGACCCATTGCCGGGCGGAAGCATTTAATGTGGAGGCCTAAATAATTACCAACACTATTGTGGGGGTTCCTTCTGGTAATTATAGTATAATGGGCCCCAAAACCCTATCTAATGATTAAGGCCCCTATATCATTTGGATCACACAAAACACAAAACAAATGTGAGGGCGGTTGTACAAGGTTTTGTACAACGGTTTAGATTTCTTTGAGCATTATCGCCGCTTTACCAGGCACTTAACCAGTGCTATAAAGGCTCGAAAAAAGCTATACTGAGTCTTAAGGAAGGGAAATAGTTCAAGCTACGAGAAGAAGGAGAGCTGCTATTCAGTATATACTCCTATCAGCAGAACCGAGTTTCGGGCTACAGGGCTACAAGCTGCGGATTTGGGATCGGCCTAGGGTTGCCGGCCAGAAATACAGTTAACTAACACAGAACCTTTTCAGTACCATGGTAGAACCCTTAAAGCAACCGCTTACATACACGGTGGGCTATGGGAAACTGCCCTTGCAACGGAGCCCTTCTAATGAGGATGCTGCCACATCAGGTTCCGGATTATGGATTTCGCTCTGGCCTTACTTTTAAAAGTTCCGGCTACTGCCTAGGATCTATATCTATTGGGGGGCACGCTAAAGCAGAAAGCTCAAACTCTGAACCTTTATTCGGGATCCCCTTCCAGAAACTCCCAGAGCTTCAGCCCTGAACCTTAGTGTGTCGGGTCGGGGGTTCAGGGCTAAACCCCACCCGCCCTACCAAAATACGGCCATCCCTCAGCTCTGATAGCCCAAAAGCGTAAACCCGACAAACCCGAAACCCACGTAGCCCAAACACTTGGATGTAGCGGCTTAAGGTTTAGAACTTCGGGTTGAGAGTAGTGGTTGAGATTGGTAATGTAGGGGCCTTAATAATTAGCATAGGGTTTTGTGTGGTTTTTATTGTAGTTATAGTACTCTATTCCCCCAAACCCTACTCTAGTCATTAAGGCCCCCTACAGTATTGGGGATCTATTATACTATAGTAGAAGCTAGAAAGTTGGAACATGGCCTTACGAGGATTAGGGCTATGATCCCTTATACTCTACCTTAAGGGCACGAGAATACTGATGAACCAACTTTCTGGCTACTACTCTAGGAGTATACGAAGCTTGCCTACATTTCTCCGATCCCAGTATGATTAGCGCCCAAAGGCTCGAAAGACTTATGTACTCAGCTCTTTAGTGTGGGTCAGGTGCTGCCAATCAGCGACACTTTAGGGCCCTGAATAATTACAATACTACTCCGCTTCGGATTTCTATGTTACCACAATAGCGATCTGTAGTAGCGAACAGGGTTACCTTCTTATGTTACCTTTCACTAAGTTCCTCAGCACGAACCCTAAACCCAAATCCTAAACCCCTAAACCCTAAACCCCAAATCCTAAACCCGTAAACCCTAAACCCCAAGCCCTAAAACCTCAACGGCAGTCCTGCAGCATCAACCGCTGATGCGACTTCAGCTCTTCCCGATGCCATCGTAGGGACCTCATCGGGCTTGGGCGATTTAGGGGTTTAAGGTTTAGGGTTAGGGATCTTATGTATATAAGGGTTACTCTAACGGATAACGGTTCTAAAAGGCCTTAGGGTTTGGGCGTTAAGGGTTTAGGGTTTAGGGAAATAGACTTCGAGGGCTTCGGGTTAAGGCTTTAGGCTTTGGGCTCTGAGGGGTCGAGGGTTTAGACGTTCGGCGTTGAAGGCTCAGGTTTTGAGGGTTAGGGCTAGGATTCGTGGATCTAAGTGGGTAGGTGTCAAAATTATGGCCTCTTCTTGGGTAGCCTAAATAATAGGTGCCGTAATATATTAGGGACCCAAAAGGGACCATAATTTTGACAACCACCCAAGTGTATTCAGGATTTCGTGCTTCAGGCTTTTAGCTTCTTGGGTTTTGGGCTTTGACTTCGGTTTGGCGTGTGGTTCGGAGCTTGGGATTCTTGTGCCCGTTGACTCCCACCGTGCGCCCCGAGGCCCAAGACTCAATCTGCAGTCTGGTATGCACTGGGTTCTTGTTAAGGACCTGAATAATTCAAGTTACCATATTCGCGATCTACAGTAATAATACGGTTTCCTTACTATGGTAACTTTGATTAAATCCCTTAAGAAGACTCTAGTTTAAGGTGTTGTTGGGTGTGTGGTTTAGAGCTTCGACTTGGAGCCTGCAAGCCTACAACCCAACACCGAAAGCGTAGACCCTTGAGCCTGATACCCTAAGGCCTAAGCCAAAAACTCCAAACAGAACCGAAGGTGCAGCTCTGTACCCCCAAACTTACCTTTGGTTAGTAGGGAATGGAAGAATGGTAGTAATAGTATAGGGAATGGAAAATGGTAGTAATAGTAGTAGGGAATGGAAGAATGGTAGTAATAGCAATTATAATTTTACCCCATTCCTCCATTCCCTACTAACCGAAGGTAAGCAAAAGCTGAACCCCGAGGACTTGGACCTCAAGCTCGATCCCTAACCCAAACATCCCCCAGCAGTCCCAGCCCCGTTTGTGGGGTTCAGGGGTCTAGGCTTTAGGGGTGAGGGTTTAGGGGTTTAGGGGTTTAGGGGTTTAGGGGTTTAGGGTTTAGACGCCGTACCGGCGGCGAAAGCCAAGAAGCCTAAGTTCACGGTGTAAGTGCTTGTTTGAGTTTTAGTTAATCGCAAACCGCGAACCTTAAACCGTAGCCCGCCGGCAACCCACGACCCCTACGCCCTGAACTTTCATTGAGGCTGCAAGGAGTCTTCCGGAACTGAACATAAAAGAAGCCCGAGATGAAGGAAGGAAGGAGTTTGATGAGCTTTACAGGTCTATAGGAATTGGAATGGAGCCCCATGTAAGGCTTCTCTAAAGGACTCTAGAGGGGTTCCTATGAAGGGTACTACTAAGTGTTCTATGATATCGAGGCCCTAATAATCAGACCCGAGGATCTTGGGTATATACAATGACACTGATATAGAGGAAATTCGGTGGAATGATATGCAGTCGTTTGGTTTTCTTAGAGATTCCGGAACCGCCAGGGATATGTACAGCAGAATTAAGCAGTCAGCGCGGCCCCCGTACTTGTTTTGGGTTTGGATCTAATTACAATTTGAGAGTTTGGGGTCTCTTTGCTAGAGACTACCACAAACCCTCAACCAGGATATATGTACATATATATATATATACATATACATATACGGCGTGGGACTTAACGCTTTCTCCTCGCCGCGTTTTCGGGTTTAGGGCCTTAGCGGGGCCCTCGACCCCAGAAAGCGCGAAACGCCTGTAACTCTTGGGAGCCACCAGAGGGCCGGGAGAACCAGCGTTTACTTGGAGGATCATGGGACTTAGTAAGTAAGGTATAAGTACCTTAATTGGGGTTATAAGTAGAGTTACCCTATTTATAGCCCTAGTTACTAAGTCCCATGATCCTTTGAGTAGGGTTTAGGGTCTAGTGGTTCCTTTTTCACGACCCGCTTGTATTCAGGATCCTGCCATATTTGGATGTATACTCGGGTCCTGTATTTTCAACAACCCCCGGATAAGCAAGAATCGCCTTGTTCTCAAGCCTCACGGAATACCCGTAGCCTGAACCAAGAAGTGTCAAGCCCTGACGCCTCTAGAACAAGAGGCGCATGACCTCTTTAACTGTACGCCTCGCAAGCATAACTTGCAATCGCGAGAGTGACCTTTGCACAAGCATGCCGACACTTCTCAAAAGTTGATCAGGCCACAAGGAGCCCCCCAAGACCCCACACCCTGAACCAGAGTCGTAGAGCTTGAAAAACAGCCTCGAGCGAATCCTGGAATCCCGAGACTCACATATCTCTGCCTCTGGTTGAAACCCCGAGCCCCAAAGACGCCCTTCTTCTTGGCTGACTTCTGAACCCCTCCCAAAAGTTGAACTTTTAGCCTCCTTATTATAGTTCATATAGAAACCCAAAACGTTAAAGTCTAAAGAGCCAACCAGAAGAACGCCAAGTCTTGGTACTCCGACCATAAGGTCCGATGCAGGTACTGCATGCTAGACATCATCCACCGCCTGGGGCTTGGAGTATTGTACGGTTTGGGATTTGGGTTTCGGGCTTCAGGGTTCAGGGTGTAGGGTGTCGGGTTCCCAGAGACTCCAATATCCCTGAACTCAGGAATAGACATTAAAGTATAGTAAGAACCCTAATATGATTTAAAGAATATTCCTTAGTTAAGGGATATTGGAGCCTCTGGGTTTCGTGTAAGGTTACGAGGATAAGAGCAGAAGGCAGGCTGCACAAGGTGTCTGGGAGAGTGCCATCGGAAACTAGTTTAGGGATTGGGGGTTTAGGGTTTAGAGGCTTAGGGTTTAGTGGCTCTCATGTTCATCCCAATCCCAAATCTTGAAGGCCCTTGTTGAGTACTAGGATCCCTGCTACGATCCTCGTTTTGTTCAGGGTCTCCAGTGGGTTTCACACCTGGTCTTGTTCAGAACATCTGAGCTTGACTGTAAGCCCGAAGCAATACGCCCCTAAACCCACAACTACCCGGAATCTGAATCCTACATCCCGAGCCCTGAACACTAAAAGCTAGCCCTGAAACCTGAGCCCTAAAAAATGTTCTGTCTGTAGACAGTGTTCGATAGAGGCTTCGTGGCTGAAGGTAGGTAGTACAGGAGCTATCACAAGTCGACTGGGGATTTGGGTAGCTAGATTTCGTACAAACAAAGGATACTCCTGCTTAATTAGTCTTCAGGCCTGTAAAAAGTGTAATATCCGGGTCTGCCGTGTGATTTCATACCTCAGCACCTAGGCGGCTGAAGGTTCAGGTGTTCCGTGTTCAAGTGTTGAGGGGACAAAAATACGGGTTCCGCAAGGCGCAGATACTAGCTATGCAGATGCTGCCAAAGCTTCTTGACAGCCGCCCACTGATGCACGGCAGAATAGAGCAGATGCGTCGCAAGGATCCCCTGGTTCGGGGCTTTATAAGGGTGTTGTTAGGGCCTTGTCGGGTTTTACGGGGCTTTATATCGCCCTGCATGGCTTGATGGCACTAACCCCTAAGACCTAAAGGGTTTAGAGGGGTTTATTTCACTCCGGGGCACTCAAAGAGTCGGCTATAGGCTCAAAACAGTACTTTAGATCCCTGGTGAGTGAACTGGCAGACCCGCTCCCCTCGAAAAGGGTTATAAGTTTTGAATGGCCTTCATCAGGAAACCCTAAACCCTAAAAAAGGAACTGACAGCTTCGGATTTGAGCTGCGGAATGGAGGGCCCATCCCTATGAACATGGGCTGGAACGAACAGTCTGAGCTGCGACCGTCGGTTCGGTCTCCTCTTTGCATCCACAACGGTTTAGGGTTTAGGGTTTCGGGGTTTCGGGCTTTCGGGGTTTAGGCTTTAGGGTATCCCTGAAGCCCAAAACCTAAGCCTAAACTCCCCGAACCTGAAGCTCGGAAGCCTTCCGCCGGCCGCCCTGCACCCGTAAACCTGAAGCTCCAAGTTTAGGCCCTCTCAGACAATATGAAGCCCGGAGTAGCTATTCCGGAAGGCTACTTGCTATCAATATACCATAACATAGCCGTAAACCCTAAACCCTGAACCCTGAACCCTAATCTAATGCCAACACCCTGGAACTTTTGAGCCTCCGAACTCTTGGCATCGGGTGTCGCATTTTTTTTGGGGGGGGGGTTGAGGCTTTGGGTTGATGCTCTGGGGATTGGGATTTAGGGATTGAAGTTTTAGTTTAGGGTTGAGGGATTGAGGATTAAGGGGTTGAGGGTTTAGTTTTCAGGGTTGAGGATTCAGGAGTTGACGCCCGAGGGCTTTGGGTTTGGGGGCTAACACCAGCTTCGGGAACGGCTGCTCCGCAAGCCAGATTCCTGGTGGGGCTGAGGGTTCGGAGGTTATGGGTCTAATGCAGGGGCCTTAATGTTTACAATAGGGTTTTGGTGTCCATTAAGGAACCCCCGAAATAGTATAGGTAATGATCGAGGCCCCTACATTAACTAGGGTTCAGGGTTTAGGCGTCCACACTCTCCAGCCTGCAGCATCCAAACCCTGAAATTTCAAGGCCCTGAAACGAATAACTACAACCCTAAACCCTAGACCCTCAGCCGGCCTCGATCAGCAGCGTCACCGCCAGAAAGACAGCTTGAGATTCCCACAAACCCATGGCAAAATCGTCTTCGCCTTCATGCGACATCCCTAACGCCCGGCACTCCTGCCCGGGGCGGAACCGTTCCTGCCCCCACCGCTACTGCTACTACGAACTACGAACGACCCGCTGCCGTCTCGCGGTTTAGGGATTATAATGGAAACCATATTTACAACGGCCATCGCAGTAGTACTAATAGTACTTAATAGTAACAGCAGCCAGTAAAGGAATATTGTAGCAATAAAAAATAAGATCATAGTAATATCATGGCAGTATTATAGTAACTATATCAAAAACCGGGCTTACGGTAGAAACCGCACCAACCGAAAGGCTGGCGCTGGGAGGATGGCAAACCAAACCCCACGAGAGCATAGGGGGGATAGGGCTTAGGCTTTCAAGTTACGTTGTTTGGTTTAGGGGGACTCTGATTAGTATTAGAACCTGCGCATTAGGGTTTAGGGTTTACGGTTTTGAACCCTAAATTGGCCCTAAATCCTAAATCCTAAACAACCCTAAATCCTAAATCAAACCAGACCGGACCGACGGCAAAGAGCCTCGTCGCGGCCAAAACCTCCTTTCCACGAGCCCCAAGGCGTTGCCTTATAGCAACAGGGGTCACTCGCGCCGAAAGAAGGCTGCGGCATGAAGAACTGGCGCCTAGGCCCCGAACTTTGTAGGGTTTAGGGTCCAGGATTGAAGGTTTCGTGCCTAGTCCAGGCAACCTCAACTGCTCAAATGCCCGACGCGAAGCTCGCCAACCAACCTACACCTCAACATCTAAACCTGCAGCAGCTGGATGCTTGTATGATTCCAAGATGCGTAGAACCTGACCCTAACCCCGAAACACAAGACAAAAGCAAACGAACACCCCAAAAACCGAAGCACTACATTCCTAAACATTTTGAGAGTTGCACATACCCGAGCCGTGTTCTCGAATACTTGAAGGTTTTAGCTGTACCTTACGCTGCCGTCTGATAGAATGCACACCACAACACCAACCGCTGCAGGTGCTCCGCAGCCTATTGCCTGTACGGATGGATTCAGAAGCTGCTAGCCAGAATTCGTCCTACACTGACCAATGTCATGCCTAGCCCTTTCTGCATCAAGCAGCTCAATGCGCAGCAAGTCAGGTCCGCGTGGTGTGCTTATGGCATTCCGGAGTGTGGCCAAAATTTTGGGGTGAGGGCAAAGGGGTATCGAACAGACAAGGCTCATCATCAGATAATCAGCATGACAAGCTCGCGCCCATCCACATAAGATCTCTAAGGCACATTGCGGTGAGCGCTGCTTTTTGTCCCCAAGCTGTCTGCCCAGCTCACGTGGCCACCAGCTCCAAACGTTGCAAGCCTTTGGGCTGTCGGGCTTAAGGACAATGTTTATAAATATGTAGTTAATTAAAAATGTATGTGTATTTCGTACAGAAGTATAGACAGATAGATAGAGATCTGAGATATGCATCATACTCGAGCATGACGACACTCCAATATGAATGCTCAGCTCTAGGAACTTAAGGGTGTAGGAGAAGGTTCAGGGTTTTGGGGATTCCGGTCTAGGCGTACGAAATCAAGGGCCTAGGGTTTAGGGTGGAGGGGCTCCTGAGCTTAGGGGTTGAAGCTTGAACCCTGGAGCTTAAGCTCCTCAACCCTACCTTAACCCCAGGTTTAGGGTGTAGGGCCTACCTTCTTAAGCCCTATATCAGGAAATCGTTATAACGAACCCTAAACATGTACGTTCTTTATCGTCCAGGTAGACCATGCAACCTACACCCCAAGCATACAGTTCTCTTTGATTCCACTATGGCTAAACCGCGTTCTCGGCGAAGGATCTGTACAGGACAAACATTTCGGAAACTTAAGCTGGCCACCGAACACCACAGTAGCCTTAAACCCCAACCCCCCTTCAGGATCTTGTGTATGTTCGCTTGGTTTCAGGCTGCAGGTACGTAATGACAGACCCGTACTGGTCCCGAGGACTGATTGGGCGAGGGTTGAAAGTGTGAAGTTGCACTGCCCTCAGCGACGAAGGGCATAAGCGCCGAAGCTCACAAGCCACAAAGCAAGCAGATAAAAAGAAGTGCCCTTACAAGGAAGGGAAAAGCGACAACCTCTTGACTACAGCGCACATGTTTAAGACATTGCCTCAATAACCAGTACCGACTAGGATTGTCATTTCTTGTGGTATAATGGTTTTACCCTTGGATATGGGTGGCATACTGTACATACCAAACCTCATTCCAATTGCGTCGATCCGAAACTACACCGAACATCGTCATGCTGCTTTCCGCTATGCTGTCTGCAACATAACTTATACTGAGAATACCCTAAACCCTAATCCCTGAACCCTAATCCCTAGACCCTAAATCCTACCCCCCAAAACACCTAAACCCTAGACCCTAAACCCTAACCCTAATCCCTAAACCCCTAAACCCCAAAAAACCTTCCAAGCAGCTACTCGGTACCGGAGCCTACCCGGAAGATGCGAAAGCACTCCTGGAGAGAGCTGACCTCAAGGATTCCGAACACGGAGCTTCGAAACGAACGGCGAAGAATCTCACCACTGCTGATGATATAGATCCTGCATTACCTTAAGGACCATAAACTATGGGAATTATGGTACAGTCTTTGTCATGGGCAACGCAGGACTTGTATCATCAACGGTGTCACTGCTACCACGAGACGACTACTACCACAACGGCCATTGTCACTCCCCACCAGTACCAGTACCAATACCACGGCCACTGCCACTACTACCACCACCACCACGACGACTACTACTACGACTCTGCTTCTACTGCTACTGCTACAACTTCTACTGCTACCACTACAACGACGAAACTTGTGAAGCAGATTCTCACTCCCAACGCCCTATACCTAGGCAAGTAGCAAGTCGAGTTGGGGTGTAGGGCTGCCGTTCAAAGCTCACTCATATCTACGGCCATTACCCACAGTCCTAGATATGAGACTCTGGAAATCTCAGTTCACGGTGTCGTGGTTTTTGGCTTAAGGCTGCACCTACATCACGAAGCCTCTTCGTCCTGACACAAACTCGAGTAGAGCGAGGTGCCATCAGTTTTCTGTCCCTGGAGATGTCCACGGTGCGTAGGGAGCCATCATCGAAGATGCATGTTTGCGAACCTGAGTCTTCGAGGTTCGGGTTTAAGGTTGGGGAACCTTGCATGTATTGCCCCTGCAGGCGGTTAACTCCCAATAGTGTATGCTGTACGCGCTTTTTAGCCCCTAAACCCGAAACCGTACACCCTCAAACCGAAACCCTAAACCCTAAACCCCTAAACCCGAAACTCTTTTTGTCGTTCACAGAAAGGAAAGCCTTGTTTTGCCAAGCCTCCGCCCTGCAGGTGACAGAGCATGACGAGGCCATCCTCCAGGACTCCCAACAGGGAGTCGCAGTCCTGTCGAGGGTTGAGGGTTTACGGGTTTGGGGATTTTTAGGCTTTAGGGTTTAGGGTTGAGGGTTTACGGGTTTGGGGTTTCGGGTTCATAGCATTGAGGCTTGAGGGTTGAGGGTTTAGGGGTTTGGGGTTAGGGCTGCGTGCTTTTAAACACTACAAACACCACAAGCCCAACCATAAGTCGGAGTCTTGCTTGAGAAGTGCTTTTAAAGAGCATTGAACTTGCGCTTGCACGCAGGTCCTGCCTCTTTCATGAATACTTTGGCAAAACAGCTACAAGCGAGCCTAGACAGCTTTGAGAAATTAAAGTAAGGTTTAAAGTAGAGCTTTGGGGTTAGAGTTCAGGTTTTGGGGGTTGAAGTGGCTGTTTGTCTGAGGATTCCGTTTAAAAAGTATTAGGGCTGAAAACTTATGAGGTTCAGGTATTTGGGTTCAGTGTTTGGAAATTCCTGGTTGAGATATATCTGGGCCTCCAAGGCTCCGTCACTCTAAGGGGTTTAGGGTTTATAGGGTTGAGGGTTTAGGGTTTAGGGATTTAGGGATTTAGGGTGTAGGGTTTGTACCCTGGAGCTAAAGGGCCTTGGGTCCTGGGTTTTGCGTCTGGGCTTCAGGGTTACGGCAGGAGATTCGCTGGGAGTTCCGGGCATACGAACCGTCCAAGACCGCACATGTCATATCCTCTCATACCACAGCATAGCATATCATATCATGCCATATCACACCATAGCATACAATTTCATATCATATAACACACCATATATCATATACCATAGAAGGCAAACCGTATACCATATATCATATGACACATATACCATGTTTATAAAGTCGTATACTATATACCAGATACCAAATACAGAACTAGCATCAGCCATATGTCCTACATCCTAACTCGCAAATCCAATCATGACATACCACATATCACAGCATCCGTCAGATCATTAACCTTGTCATGTCACCTATCATATCTTGTATCATGTCATAAACCAGGTTAGATATCATATCATGTATCAAGCGATAGATCACAACATTGATCATGCTATATGCCATCCCATCTTTCATGTGTCGTCACACTGTATTCACCATAGATCATACCACAAGTCATACGTTTTGTCACATCGTATAACATGCCATGTACTATATCAAAGATCGTGTCTGATATGATAACAAATTCAGGACATATGTCACGTCATATCATATCATGACAGCCGTATGACATCATCACAATTCCCTGTCGCAGCACCTGATGGCACATGACTTCATATTATTAGGTTATGCAACATGATGCACTGCGGTATGTTACAATATGCAATGTGAATGCAAAAAGAGCTAGAAGAGACAAGCCGGTAGAACATCAAGAAATGCAATTCACTATTATGGAATATAGTGAAAAATTACGTAATATAGCAGAATATGACGGCATGGAATATAACATGGGATAGTAAGAAGCAGTGTAACGGGGGATGGGACAGGACAAAGTCACATAACAGTATTCCAGGCTAAGGCAAGATAAGCTAAGATAGCAACGTATACTGTATAGTGTAACCTCACGGAATACAATACGACAAGACAGTCACATTGTACAGTTAAACGCAATCGAACGAAATGCAGTGCTATATAATGTGTTCTACGTAGTATACTGCACTATACAGTCATGTGCGATATTCAAAACTAAACTAAACCTTAATGCCGTAATACAACACTTCCGGTGCAGCATAGTGCAACCTAAACAAGACTACAAGACGCAATGAAGCGAAGCTGATGAAAGACATGGTAAGATAAGATGAAATGCCATGACGAAAATGCGATACGATAAAAGATTGTAAAACCTGAGACACTATGACATGACAAGCTACAACCCCTTTTAATCATATAACGATCGAAAAGCATGTCCTATCAAATCCTATCATGTCACCTGATATCATATCAAATTTCAGTAGAAGGAACTAACGACAGTAAGGTCAAATAGTAGTAGGAATAATAGTGATGAGGTGCGGAAGTAGTAAAAAACATAATTGCAAAGAGAAGACGATTGCCAGCAATCTTAACAATAGTAGTACTAATCACACTACTAACACGCCTAGTCATCAGTGCAGTAGTAACAAGAACAACAGGAAAAACATCACAGTAAGAAGAAGACTAATGGTAATAATGCTCAGGTTCATGATGCTAGTGGCGGGCCTCCCCACAGAAGCCCAGATACCGGATGTTGCTGCTCGAGTCCGGCATCACACGGTGAACCTCTAAGAGCTTTGGTGGAGCCTGTGTTATAGTAGGGTATCGAATTACCGGTCGCTTTTTGGATGGTCATGAAGCTGTGTTCGGATGCTTTTTCAGACGGGTCTCATTACACTGCTCCTAAGAAGCGCACTTTAAAACAGTCATGGCATCAGGATCCGACTATGTAGGGCAGGTCTGTCCCGTATGTTCTCTCAGATCTGGCTGTTAGAACCATATCACGATGTCTTCACAACACCCTCCTCGCACCCAAACCTAAATCCTACAGCACGGAACTCACGATTTAGGGTTGAGGGTTGGTTTAGGGATTCGGGTTTAGGGATAGACACTGGGATGAACGGATGAACGAGTTTGTGGTCTCAGAAGCACTTGAAACGGTCAACTTGGTGACGGCCAAAGTGCCGCTGGAGTCGAATGAGATGGCCACGTATGCTAAAGCAATGTCCGCTCCACATAGGCGACTTAGATTTTGGGGCCTAGGGTTTAGAGTACAGACCTTACGGTTTGGCTATGGCAGGGTGATCAACGATTGTAACTGAGTACAGTTATAATATATACACATATATATAATCGATATATACATATATATATATATATATATTAATATATGTTATATATATATAGAGAGAGAGAGAGATAGAGAGAGAGAGAGAGAGAAAGAGCTAGGTTGCACCCTAACCCTCTGCTACCAGCCCCAAAGTATTATGGGGGCCATAATAATTAGAATAGGGTTACGGTTTAGGGGCATGTTATACTATATTCATAATAAGGAACCCCCAGAATAATATAGGCAATTAATTGTTAAGGCCCCTACAGTAGAACCCTATTATAGATACCTTATAGACTCCTTTCAGGATTCCTTTAAAGGGAACCCTGGTAACCCTAGGTAATTATTTTGGCACCGATAGTAATCCCCAAAACTCAGCTGAGCCCCCCGGCCAGTTCTCTCGTCCCCTTCCTTTGCACTCGCCACACTTGCGCCGGTGAGTTTTCGAGTCCTCACCAACACATCGTAATACTATTCCCCCAGGGCTCCTTAGTGAAAACTATCATTATAAATACGGTTATAGTAGAGTTTTCGAGTCCTTAGGGTTTAGGGTTTCGGGTTTAGGGTTCAGGGCTTAGGGGTCCAGGGGTTGAGGGGTTTAGGACACATCGCACAACTCTGAAGTTGAACGCATGGACAGCTTTGGGATGGCGCTGGGCTTCAGATTTCGTAGTTGAGGAACAAAGCGGTGGAGCTTCTGCTTCCCTAGGATGCCCAGTAACCCAAGGAATAAACAGGCCTCCTGTTTGGTACTGGGTAACTTTGTAAGGAACCTAGGACTACAAAAAGGGAATAAGGGTACTACTGGGCATCCTAGTTCCGCTTCGAGGTTCGAGGCTTACGCGTTGCAAGGTGCTTTGGTGAAGCTTACAAGAAAGTTTAGCTAGGTTGGCCCCTCAAAGCCTCTGAAAAATATTCGTTAACAAGATCCTCTATACCCCAATAAGGGAAAATGTAAAATGTCCCAAGGGCCTACCTAGTTAGAGTCTGGGTAGTTGGCTGTTGCGCGGAGTGAGGATTCCATGCCATCGAAGAGCCTGGGATTTAGGATTTTGTGCTTAGAGTTTAGGAAGTCAGCATCAGATGGTGCTCCAGCTTGTCAGGTTGTGCCTGCCTTCCAGATAGCTTCCCCTGAAGACCAAGCCGCAAACCGGATAACCCAACCTCCGCCCAAGAACCATCACTCCGAAACCCAGCTAAATCCGAAACCCCAAGCCCAAACCCCCGTACAACTACTTCAAACAAACCAGGGCTTTCCAAAACCCTAGTGTGTGGCACCCCGTTGTGGCATGGGGCTTCGAGTTGACGATGTAGGGTTTGGGGTTCAGGGTTTTGGTGGCAGGTTTGGGTTTAGGGTTGAGGATGTCATCTTTGAGATTATCGGGACAACTAGTGAGAAGGGTATAAGTGGGCCATATATGTACCGAATACAGAGGCCTGAGAAACGAATGCTGTTGCCTAGGGATCCTTAATCAAACTGTCATTACGAATATGATTCTGGTATAGGGCCTCTATGTTAACTTAATTTTCGCCCTTCAGGAAAAGCTTTCGAGGATTGGGGGTTCAAGGCTTTGGGGCCTCTTCAACCGATTGCTTTACGGTTTGTACCCTTTTTCGCGCTGTCCCCTTCGGGTTCGGTGGCTTAAGATATGGGGCTCTTGCGCTTGAAGCTTCAGGGCGTGAGATAAAAGTTCCGGTGTGGCGGATCAATTTCAGGTCTTGGGTCCTTGGGTCCTGGGTCCTTGGGTTTAGGGTTGAGGGTCCCTGGGGTCTTTGGAGCACAGCGGACGGCGCGCCTGTCATAGCGAGGAGGCAGCAGTTGGGCGACGTATCCTCGATCACCTTGCGGCTGTTTCGTGTTCTGGTGCTAAATTCGAAACCCTGAACCCTAAACCCGAAACCTTAAACCCTAAACCTTAAACCCTAAACCAGAAAAGGCAATCAAGAAAAGCCTGAAACCTACACCCTGTGAGCATCCATCCAAATCCAGCCGGTAGGATGAAGGATGCATGAAATGGGAGATCGCTGGGGATTATACTGTGTTCTTGTGAAGGGACTTGATTCAAGTTCCCACAATGAGGAAACCATAAGATTTCCTCCAGATCGCTATTCTGGCAACTTGAATTAAATTCCGTAACAAGAACCCAGTCAGCAAATATGGAGCCTGTAATATCGGAAGACAATATTAAAAGTATGACTAGGGCCTGAAAAGAAAGGCTATGGTCGTGTACTCCGACCCCTTATTGCTGCCTGCGTATGACGCTTCTTGCTCCTCCCCTGGACCTCCAAGTAACCTGTATAAGCCAAACCTCTAGCCAATATCTTTCATCCACGCCAGCAGTCCATGCAAGAGCGGATTAGGACTCCGGGTCCACGATCTTGGCGTTTGGGAATTGGGGGTTTACGATTTCGGGATGTTTCGGATTGACGGCGTTATCAGTCGGGGCTTGCGGATTTCCTCCGGCAGCCCCACTGCAGGGCCCTTAATGATTAGAATAGGGTTTTGGGGCCCATTATACAATAATAAGAACAAGGAATCCCCCAAATTAGTTTAAGTAATTATTGAGGCCCCTACATCAATTTCTTCTCCTGAAACTGCGCAAAAAAAACACCGCGAGGCAAGCCACTGCAAAGGCCGAGAGGTTTCCTCGGCTTCCGGAACTCTCGGGTCTGAGGCGATATCTAAAATCCGGAACAAGAGCCGGGACTAGCAGCAACGATTCTAGTGAACACGTACGATGATGATCTCCAGGGCTCCAGGGAACGGAGGCTGCCGAGTGGGGGTCTGAGGGTCTGAGGGTTTAGGGGATGGGCAAACATTTCGAGTTTGGCGAACAGGAAAGAGGTGTGCCAGGGTGCACGGTTCAAGTTTCCAGAGACCCTACAAGCCGGAACCCTAAACCAAAGCAACTGTAGCTCTATCGGACCTACTCCCACCCCCACTTCCCCTCCAACCCTCAACCGTAAACCCTAAATCCAAAACTCCTAAAGCCTTAAAGCCTAAATCCTATTACAACTTCCTACCCAATACCCCTGAACCAATGTAGAGCCTTTCTGAAAATCCCAGAACCCGAACCAGAAACCTGGCCAGAAACACTGGTCGAATTAAACATTTATGAAGCTATTAAGACGAAGATAAAAAGCTGAACCCTGGACATTTCTCACAAGCCTCTCTATAATCTATAATTCATTTAAGAAAAGGCCTCAAGTAAGAACCGGCCTACAGCCTACATATTTCTCAAACCCTAAACTACTAGACCTTAAACCCTAAACCCTAAACCCCTATACTCTAATACCCTAAACCCCTGGACCCTAAACCCTAAACCTAAGCGTCTTTCTGCCGGGCATCGCTCGACCGTGCACACCAGGTCTGCCTGCCAGGGCTCCGCCTCGGCGCTGCCGCCCTGGAAGGCCCACACCTTCGGCTGGTTTAGGGTTTTTTTTAGGGTTTAAGGTTTAGGGTTGAGGGTTTAAGGTTTAGGGTTTAAGGTTTAGGGGTTTAAAGTTTAGGGTTTAAGGTTTTGGGGTTTAGGGGTTCTGGGGTTTTGGGGTGTAGGGTTAGGGGTCTAAAGCACGGTCTAGGGCTTGGGGTCCAAAGTCTTTCAATGGGACCTAAGCAAAGCCTAGGGCTTTCTTTACAGGGCCCTTCAGACAAGGTTTAGCGCCTTCTTGAAGGAAGGCTTAAGGTCTCCTTTAAGAACCCTTTAAGAACCCTTTAAGCAGGGTCCAGGGCCCAGGCTGCAGGTTGGTGTTTAGGGGCCTTGCTCCACCTGCATTCTTCGTCCCACGCAGACAGAAAACCTCGGGTTTGAGGTGGAAGGGGTCGGGCTGAGGTCCGATACCTTTCCCGAGTCAGCCCAAGATCCCCCGCAACGAAGGAAGCGTGAACGGGAACCCCAGAACCCCAGACCCCAGGGCGCTGGGAAGGTTCCACGAACTCATGTGCAGCTTTTCAAGGGCATTTGCTAAGGAGTTTAGAAGAAAATTAACTTAACAGGTAATAAGGGGTCTCTAGTAGTGAATGCTACGGTTTCCTTGTTCTGGCCAGATACGTCAACTGCCGAAACCCTAAAAGCCTAAACCTGAAGCCCTGAGTGCTGGTATTGTTACGATTATTGTTTGTATTCTTGTGACTATTATTGTTGCAATTAACATTAAAGTAAACTCTATAAAGTTGGAAACCGGAGTAAGGCCAAATAGTGCTGGGATTCCCTATACATTGCTCTCAGGGATTGAGGCTACGGGGTTTCCAACTTTTGGGCTTCTACTGTATAGTGCTAAGGACAGCCCTGGGAGCCTGTAGCTTCTCCTCAGAGGGCTGTAGCGCCGCCCAGGCCCCGTGGAAGGACAGCGACAGCGCGCCGCCTGGGATTCGACTTAGGGTTCAGGGTTTAGGGTTTTGGGTTGGTTTAAGGTGATCTTAGGGTTTAGGGTTTAGGGTTGGTTTAGGGTGATCTTAGGGTTTAGGGCTTAGGGTTGGTTCAGGGTGATCTTAGGGTTTAGGGTTTAGGGCTGGTTTAGGGTTATGTTTGGGGTTTAGGGTTTAGGGTTAGGTTCGGGTTTAGGGTTCAGAGTGAAGCGCTGAGGGCTTAGGGTTTAGCTTAGGCTTAGGGTGTCAGAGCGCAGGCTTTCGAGCTCAGAGCTTTGGGGTTTAGGGTTCAAGTAGAAGAGAAGGAAGGGAGCCTAACCTAAACCCCTAAACCCTTAAACCCTTAAACCCCTAAACCCCTAAACCCCCTAGTAAACCCCTAAACCCCTAAACCCCTAAACCCCTAAACCCTAAACCAACATGGTCTGGTCTACAAACACCCGCTCGAAAGTGTAGTTGTGGACAGGGCCTCTGACAGGGTGCGAGCTGTGCACACGTCCTGTGGCAGGGGTCGACAGTCCCCTTAGACAGGGTCTGTGGCAGGGCAGCATAGGATCCATGATAAGGCCTGTGGCAGTATGTTTACGTGACAGGCAGGTTTTGCGGTTTTGAAGGGAAGGCTATTGGAAGGGGCGTCCAAAACACTACTAACCCCCACAAAACCCTAACTCGCAACACCAAAACCCCAAAGCCCAAAACCCCCAAGCCCTGCATCGCTTCAGGTCCTATGATCCGCAGAGCCACCTCTTCCCTCCACCAGGGTCTTCTCCCCCAAAAGCTGCGCGCCCATGGGTAGGAGCCTCGGGTTCTGTGCACTGAAGGCTACTTAGAGCAACTCCGCAAACCCTAAACTCCTAAGGTAAAAGCCAGAAAGTTGGAATATGATTATCCTAACCCTTCCATGGTAAATTATAGGGTATCCTACCATGAAGCCATATTCCAACTTTCTGGAGTTCCCTGTAAGCCGACACCTCTCAAACCAAGAACGGTCCCTCATGTTCAGGTTGAAAAGAAACTTTGAGGCTTCTTTCGTCGTGCTGTGGGTTCAGGAGTCGTAGGGGTTTAGGGTTTAGGGTTTAGGGCTTAGGGTTTAGGGTTTAGGGTTTAGGGTTTAGGTTGGGATATATATGGCTTGGCGATTGGGGTTCAAGTTTAGGGTCTAGGGTTCAGGTGGGGCTGCTAAAGCGTAGGGCTTAGGTTTGAGGGTTCTCGTATTTGTGGTCTGTGAGGGGAGGGGATGTGTTCAAGGTTCAAGACATGTCAATCTGAGGGCGCAGATTTCCGGGCATGGTGTCCTAAGTTCTGGGGTTTGGGGAAGTGCATGCAAACCACACAACAGTCAACCACCAATGCAGCACACAGGTACGGTCGTGGCTGTTGGAACACAACCAAGCATGGAGGGTTCAGTTGTGCAAGCTTCTTTTTCGCTTCCGCACCTTTTGCGAGAGGAACTGTGTTGAACACTTTGCCAAACCAGCAACTGTGTTGAACACTTTGCCAAACCAGCAAAGCCCTAAACCCAAAGCCCTACACTGTGGTGGATTCCCAGACTCGAAACCTTGCGCGCTCGACTCGCCATGCCAGAGGGATATCACTACAGATTAAGAAACCCTGGGCCGTTATTAGGGTTCCCTATATGAATCCCACTAAGTCCTACTATTTTGGGATTATAGGCCCAGGGTATCTTAATCTGGTTCCTACATCATAATCTGAAACTGAGCCATGCAGGGCTTACGGAGTTTCAAGTTTGGTGTTAGATGGAGGAGGTTCTGGCGTATGGGCCTCAACCAACACCCTAAATCCAAAACCCAGATCCCAGCAGGATCCCTAAACCGTGAAGCCTAGGGCCTTGACCCTAAGCTTATTATAGTATATGACGAGATAGTAGAAAGTACTATGATGCAAACAGAACAGATTAGGAATAGGATAGACTGATACACTTCAGTAAAACAGAAAAACACAAGATAAGACAAAACAAGAGACAAAACAGGAGACAAGACAAGACAAGACAAGACAGGACAACGCAAGGTTACGATGCTTGCAGGTAAGATAGTGTAAGTTGAGATAACACAATAGTACACTATGTTATGTTATGTATCAGCCTATTCTAGTATATTATGTATATTGCCCCCTATCATACCAGATTAGATCATATAATGTCACATATCTATAGTGGCCTACTGAAGCCTTCCAGGGCAGCAGAGAAGCTGCCAAGCCAGGATCGATCCGGAAGAAGTCCGACATCTGGCACGGCTTAGGAATAACGGCTTACGGTTCGTAGTGCTCCTTCACAGATTCCGTTCAAATTTCGTCAAGGATTAAGGTTTAGGGCTTAGGGTTTAGGGTTCAGGGTTCAGGGTGTAGGGATTTCGGTATCAGGGCTTTGCTGCCTGGTGCTTTAGGATGTTGCTGGTTTTGGTGGTTTAGGGACGGGCAGGGCTACGGACCGCATCCCTCCCAACTGAAACCCCCCCCCTCCCCCCGCATCAGCGAACCCAAACTCCAAGTATAAGCATGCACCTTCGACTTTGGGCAGTTCTCTTTTGGGGTTCTGGAAGCACCCCACGACTTAAATCTCAAAGCTACACCTGACGGAACGCAACCTATTCGCCAGGATGTGGCCGGGGCGCAGAATGACTGGATTCGACTTGGCGCTGTAGTCGGTCTGCGACAATGCCTCTGGGATGGATGTAGGAGTTCGGCGCTGGTTTTAAGATAGCAGCCTGAACAATTACTAGCAGTATTTCTTGGGCCTCCCTATTACAAGTATACCATGTGTAGCCTTGAACGCACCTATATGAAGCTGTACTGTTTAGGGCTCAGGCTTCACTGTTAGGTTTCGGGGTTTACGGGTTCTTTGCAGTTTTTTCTTGTGCCCGACTGAGCTAGGAGCCTAGCTTGTTTAGGGCGTTGGCTTGGATACTGTGTGCTAAAGCAGCAGGCGTTTAAAGGCTAATAAACATGTGTGTTCCTTTCTGAATGTAGCGGTCCACGTATTGATTTCTTTATGTATGAATGGGTTTATGTACTTAAGCGCTTATGTACTCATATATTTGTGCAGTTGTGGGTGGATTTACCTACCCTTCACTTCTTTATGCAATTGCTTGTGTTTCAGGCTGTCGGGTTTAGGGTTTGGGAGTACCGCTAGCTTTCTTCAACAGTGTCTAATTGCAGAGGCGTAAACTCCACACCTGAAACCCCAACTGGCATAGGGGCCTCAATAGCTAAAACGAGGGTTTCGGGGTATGCTTACAAGAAGGAATACTATTTTGGGGGGTCCTTATTAGAATTGTAATATTAAGGAGCCTAAAACCCTATTCTAATAATTCAGGCCCCTATATTACTCAACCCTAAACCCTAAACCCTAAACCCTAAACCCTAAACCCTAAACCCTATATTACTCAACCAGGCGTCTACACTACCCTACTTCCCAGAGAAGCGCCTGCAGGTCCTAAGCTGCGAACTACAGTGCACAGCACGGTGATCACTTCCCAGAGAGCCCAATACCCCTTAATTAAGGCATATATGTAGGGTTCCTTTAAGGGATCTATAAGGGATCTATAAGGGATCTATAGGGTTTAGGGTCTAGGGGAATCTAATACCCCTTAATGAAGGAATATAGCTTAAATCATAATATGAAGCCCGATATACTCTAAGCCATGTTCCTTAATTGAGGGGTATTGGGCTCTGTGAGTTTAAGGGTTGCCTGCAGTGGGTGGAGGAAGCTTCAAACTTCAAAGGACTCTTGGGACAAGTACAATAGAATCACGACAAGGAACTCTCAACGAAGAGTATGGGTAACTGTTTAGACCCCTACCTGAGCCAAACCGTAGGGCTAATGTTCAAAAAAGCTCAATTGATACACAAGAGACTCTTGTCTGTAGCCTACATCCTAAATTCAACACCCTTCACTGTAGCCGACACCCGCCAAAACTCTGATACTTTGCGCCCAAATGCTCAGTCTGAGAAGGAAGCATACTACTTTGTCAAGGAGCATTTCGGGGCTTTCGGGCTATGTGTTTTCCCCAAACCCTGCACCGTAAACCCTGAACCCTTGAACAGAAACCCGAAACCCTGAACTCAGAGACTTGCGGACTTTCGGGTGTATCTAGAGCCTGGGCATGGGAGCATAATGGTTAGGGTTTAGGGTTTAGGGTTAAAAAATGGGGCTTGGTGTATTTATGCTGGAATCAGAATGGAAACGGCAAGGAATAGTACTGGTACCTCTTCAGGCTTCTATATTACTAGTTAATGCTGTCTCAATTGCAATGCTCGGCGCTGACCCTCGGCTGGGCTCGTTTGCGCTTGCCGTGAATTCGTGCCGTGAATCACGCTCAAGAACTGACAGCAACAGATTCATGCTGCACCTGGGTCTCACGATGACGATGATGATGACGACGATGATGATGATGATGGTGATTGGAAACATGATGACGAAGATAACTTTGTAATGACAGAGACTATGTGACTCTGATGATGCTGATGATAACGGTTACGGTGGTGGTGGTGGTGGTGGTGGTGGTGGTGGTGGTGGTGGTGGTGGTGGTGGTGGTGGTGGTGGTGGTGGTGGTGGTGGTGGTGGTGGTGGTGGTGGTGGTGGTGGTGGTGGTGGTGGTGGTGGTGGTGGGTGGTGGTGGTGGTGGTGGTGGTGGTGGTGGTGGTGGTGGTGGTGGTGGTGGTGGTGGTGGTGGTGGTGGTGGTGGTGGTGGTGGTGGTGGTGGGTGACGGTGGTGATACAGATCGTTGTGAACGTCATCGTCGTCGTCGTCATCATCATAATCATGATGATGAACATGACGATGATCCAGATGTGAGCAGACTAGGATGATGATGATTATGACGGTGATGTTGATGATGATGATGATGATGATCACGATGGTGGTGGTGGCGATGATGGTGATGATGGCGGTGATGACGATGATGGCGATAATGGCGATGATGGCGAAAATGGTGATGATGACGACGCTGTTGTTGTTGGTGGTGATGGTGATGGTGATGGTGATGGTGATGGTGATGGTCCAGTGATGGTGATGGTGATGGTGATGGTGATGATGATGATGATGATGCTGAGGATGAAGATGACTAAGACAATGAAGATGAAGAGGAAGAGGCAGATGAAGCTGAAGATGCAGAGGAGGAGGAGGAGCGGAGGAGGAGGAAGAGGAGGAGGAGGAGGAGGAGGATGCAAGATATATACGACTGCTACCGCCTACTGCTACGCACTGCTCTCACGAAGACAATGTAGAGCTGCATCAACCGGGGGCACTGCCAAGAGTGAGAAGGGGTTGTGCTCGCAATAGCAGGCTATCGGGGCCCCAGCATAAGCTACCGACATTATTCCCTAGGGTAAGTGCCATTCCGACTACTGTTGATATAGAAGCCCGAATAGTTACCCCCATCATTCCTTCAGGTAGGGGTGCGAGAAAATGTAACTCTAGCCCGCAATGCATCACCACTTAGCCTCACACCGGCAATAGAGCGGCGCACAAGCTTCTTAAGCCTAGACTTTGTAAACCTAACCCCTAAACTTTAAACCCAAAGCCCTAGACTCTCAACCGTAAGCCCTAGCCAGAGCCACAAAACAGCAGTAATCCAGTTGCTCGAAGTACTGGCGCCACTCGAGTCGCCCTGCGTTTCAACTCGTTGGTTCGATGTCCGGGTTTCCAAAGCGTACGGGTTTGGGATCCAGGGCTCTAAGTTTAGGTTTTAGGTTATAGGGTTTAGGGTTTAGGGTTTAGGGTTTAGGGTTTAGGGTTTAGGGTCTAGGCTTACGAATGAGGGTTCAGGGTTCGGATTTCGGGTTTAGTTGAGGAATTAACAGCCCAAAGTGTGAGGGCTCTAACCGCTCCACGGCGTGGCGCCTGAAGCCGCGGTCACAGTATCTACCCTTATTTCCAATCAAAGCCCGGTAGCCGCCTCTCCCGTCAACCTTGAACTATGGGTTTAGCTTAACCTATTTGAAAACCAAACCTCAAAGAGAATTCCCGAAAGTAACCCCGTGACGACAGTCCTCGACGGTCCACTTCAAGGGCTCTTCATCGTCGAGCTGCCCGGAAGGCCAAAACATCACCTCTGTAAGACTTTACGGCTTCAGAGCAAACTTGTATAACTTTTTGTGGTTTCTTTCGAACTTAGGGTTTTGTTAGACCCTAGACTCTAGACTATGGACTTTCTTGTGTAGGGCTTTTGGGCGCTGCTTAGGAATTCCGGTGTTCTTGGGTCGAACTGCAGGATTCCATGTTTAGGTACGGTTAAGCTTGAGAGTCGAGGGTGGAGGGTCCCTACCCTAAACCGTACACCGAAAACCGTAAGCCGGTACAACCCTACGGTTGATGATATAAATCCTGCATTACCCTAATAAGGAATCTACCATAATTCCCATAGTCTAGGGTCCTTAAGGTAATGCAGGATTTCCATCATCAACCGTACCCCCCCGCCCCAACTGCACCCAAAAAGAAACTAAAGAACCGGAAAGGAGCGCTCAGCAACAAAAGATTTCCTGCAAACAGCGGTTTAAGAAACGAAACTCAAGCCGCCCCGCCAAACCCTCTGTAAAACCCCAACACTCGAGCAACCCCTAAAGAAACCCTAAGCCTAAGCCTCTTTAGACACCAGAAAGCTTGAAACCCTAACCCGAAACAACGGCAGCTTCGTCGCCAGATCTCGTGAGGCTGTGCCGACCTCCAAGAGCAGTGCGACGCCGCCCGTCGACGGATTCACCTCGGTTAGGGGTTTAGGGTTTGGGGTTCAGGAGGGGGGGGTTTATGGGGTTCGAGCTTTCTGGCTTGACAGACATACATACATACGTGCATACTTACATTGATGCATGCATGTATACATACGTGCAGACAGACAGACAGACAGACTGACTGACAAGCGGACGGACAGAAGGACAGACAGACAAGCACCAAACCTTAATCCAGATAACCTTAAACCTCTAAGTCAAACTGAAGCTCTACACCTCCAACCGACTCCGACCCACACCTTTGAATCGAATCTGGAGCCCAAACCCACAACCTGCGGCTTGGCCGGGACAGGCCTTCGAAGTCGGATTTGTCGGTTTTAAGCACAGGCTATACCGAAATTCCCAGCCATGCTCGAAAAGAAATTGCCCCAAACTCTGCCCACACCCACCCTCCTGATCTTTGGGATGACGGCAAGTAGGATTGAGGATCCCTTACTGTATATATGCACTCTTATTTTGGTATTGCCCCACCTACCTTCATCCCACCCTTGCTTAAAGGCCAAGGGGTCTTAGTAATTAGGTCATAAGTAGAATTAGAAGTACCCTAAATGGAGTCACCCCCAATTATATCCCTACTTATACCTAAACTCCTATTGATCCCTGAAAAGAACCCTAAAGATCCCTTTCAAGCCCCTGTTGATAGAGGACTTACTCAGTCGCTTGGGCCTCCAAGTGGAGCCCTTTGCTACAAGCCAAAACACCGCCATGCTCCGTATGAAGTGTTTTCCTCCGGATGAGAGCTCTCTGCGATACCGTACCTCAATGGGGCTAAGGGCTGAGGGTTTAGGGTTTGGGGGTTTACGGGCTTATTCCTCCGGATCAGAGCTCTTTGCGATACCGGACCTAGGCGCTCGGTGGGTTTGGGGTTTTGGGTTTAAGGTTTAGCGCTCAGGGTTTGGGGTTTATAAGGTTTTTGGTATACCAGGCATGTCACGGACAGCTTAACTCGGCCTCAATGTTTATAGGGCTTATGGGGCGCATAGGGTTTAGGGCTTGGGGTGGGATGTCGCAAAGTTTACATTACATGGAACCTAAAAGCCTGCCCTTGGGGACTTACATCAAGACAACCATAATACGCAACGTATGTGTGAATGTGTAGATCTATGTATATGCACATGCACACTGACAAGTTTATGCATACACTTGGTTATTTATGTGCTTGTGCATTCGTCTATCCATTGTGTCGTTCATTCATTCACCAGTTCTTCATTCCTTCATTCATTGTTGTGTTCACTCATTCATTCATTAATTCGTCCGTTCGTTCACCCATCTCACTCATTCTGCTGGCTAGGTGGCTAGCTGGCTAGCCAGCTAGGTTAGCTAGTTAGGTAGCCAGCTAGCTAGCTAGTTCGTTAGTTAGTGAGTTAGTCAGTGAGTTAGTTAGCTGGTTACTTAGTTCGTCAGTTAGTTAGTTAGTCTGTTCCTTCGGTCGTTCGGTCGTTCGATCGTTCGTTAGTTACTTGGCTAGTCAATCAGCTAGTTGGTTAGTTAGTTAGCTATTGATTTCTGCTTGTCTAGCTAGCTAGCTGGTTCCTTACTTACGCATTTGTTTAAAATAACCCAGATACTTCTGGTCATGCTAGTTCTGTACAATCGCACAGACTAAAGCACAGCCCAATCACAAGTCTGCCCCCTTTACACAGAGAATCAACACAATGAGCATCCTACAACTCTATGACGTAAAACGGCGCAGCTTCTAAGGCTCCATGTATCGGATCCTGCAATGGGCCTGGACTTGGGGTTCAGGAGAGACTTTTATCAAAGTTTAGGGATCCAGGGTTCAGGGCGTAAGTGTTTGGGATGTAAGTCGCAAGGCCACGTATAAAACATCCATACCGTGAACCTCAAATGCGCATCTACAGGCTCGCTTGCTTGCTTAGAAAGCAGTCCAGTTGACAAAAAGCTTAGGGTTTCCGTTTTAGATGATGAACATGGGCATTTCGTGCTACGGCGTGACAATCGCTGAATTTAGCTCTAAACGCTTCTCTAAACCCTCAACCGCCTTAATACGCGGACCCCGGCAAGCGACCCCAAGGTTCGTAAGAAGCCTCCATCTCTCTGTCGGCCAAGGCGCACGACCTGTGCCGATGTCGTAGAGGCCTACGGCCTGCTGAGACAGGGGCACTTAATTATTGTAAAATATCCCCCAAAACCCCATTCTGCCTATTACCGGCCCCGATACTACACTTAAGTGTAGTGTCATATCACACAAAAAAAAAACCTATTCTAATTATCAGAGGTGGGGTTTAGGCTGCAGGGTTTTTAAGTTTAAGGCATTAGGCTTGAAGTGGATCGACAAGAAGCCAGGGTTCACAGTCTAGGCTGTCAGGCTTGAAGATTTAAGGTTGCACGAAGACCCTCGTCGTAAGGACCCTGAAACAGAGACCCATAACAACGAAAACCTACTGGAAAAACGTATGAAACCCTGAGAGCCCCACTCCTTACAGACTTTATAGAACCCCTTTTACATGCCTTATACTAACCCTCATAAGCCCCTTTACAAGACTTCATAGAACCCTTATAGATGCCTTATAGAGCCCCCCAAAAAGGAACCCTGTAGGTACTTGAAATGCATCGCCTGGTCCGTCTGGAAGACGACTGCCTCGCAGCCTCACAAACTCTGACTGTTTTTAGTGGGCGTTTGGGCGGTTTAGGGGGTTTAGGGGGTCTGGGGGTTTAAGTTTAAGGTTTAAGGTTTTTTTTGCGATGCAATGGCCTTTCTCCTGCGTGAAAGGTTTTGGGTTTAGGGGCGTTTTGGGTCTTATTTCTTATGGGGTTTGTAGGCTGTTAAAGGGATTTTGCGAGGTTTCATGGGGTTAATTCCATAAGGGCTTAAAGAAAGCCTTTGCAGAATCTCTTCAGCATAGCGATCCCTCTTCGCGGGTCCTCATAATAAGACCGCTCCTATCTAGGGTCTACACTAATTTCCCTGTCTTTGCAACGAAATCCGAAAAGCAAAGCCCTGTCCAAACCAAAAGAACCTGCCGTCTCAAATGGGAAAAGGATGGATCCTTAATGGGGACCCCTACCCTATAATGGGCCATGTAATGGGTATATAATGGCTATATTAAGGGTATATACCTAGGGGTCCTTATTCAGGGTCCCTCCTTTTACCCTTGGACCGTCGGACCAGCCTCCGGGCGTAAGGGGTTCCAAATGGGTGGTTGTCACAAATATGGGGGTCCCTTCTTGGGTACCCTCAAGATGAGGTGCCGTATAGAAGTAAGGACCCAAAAAGGGACCCTAATATTGACAACCACCCAAATGAAAGTTTTGGGGCTTCCGGCGTGGATGAACCTGAAACCGTAAACCCCAAACCCTGCAAGGTTTAAAGTTTCGAGCCTTTGGCTTCCAGCTTTGGAAGTAGAGTTTCAGATGTTAGGGTGTAGGGCTTAGGGCTTAGTAACTTAGGGTTCGAAGGCTCGACGCTTCGGATCAAATCTCGGACATTTCGAGGCATAGGGTTCTATGTGCGTATGAGAAGCTGCTTTCGTTGGAACCCATCAGTTTCCGCGGTCCTTTGTATGTCTGGTTTTCGGGTTACGGTGTCAGGCTCTAGGACATCCACAAGGGTTTAGGGGTTTAGGGTTTAGGGATCGTCGACTCACCATACACCCAGCCCTGCAATCATCGTCATCGAACCACTGCGGCTGTTCGGATGGCGTCTTGCCCATGCCGATGCATCCCACATGCTCCTATATCCGAACGTCCCGAACCGTACACCGTACACCCAAAAAGCTGTGACTCTGCATCCTAAACTCTAATGTCAACATCTCTGCTCTCTGAGACGGGAGGCGCCGGTCAGCGAAGCCTTGGGCGTTGTTGCTTGGGTTTGTGGTTGGGAGTTTAGGGTTTAGGGTTGAGGGCACCTTTCGGAGAAAGTCGTGTCAGATAGGTTAAGGTGCAATGGGTTCCTAGGGTTTTTTGGGTATCCTCGTTTGAGGCCCAGAAAAAGCCTTTATACCCTGAGCACTAAACCCCACAACCAAAAACCTCAACCCGTAACCCGCTCGCACTCCTTTCAGGGTTCCTGTAAGGGTCTTTCAAGGGTTCCTTTAAAGGCACCCCCTAGACCCTAAACCCTGAACCCTAAACCAACCCTAAAACCTAAACCATCCCTAAACCTTAAATCCTGAACCCTAAACCAACCCTTCCCTTCTTCATGAGAAGGTGCAAGTCTTCCGAAAGCTTGTCGCCCGGAGTCTTCATTCGTCTAGTCATCGGGACTTTCAAGAAGTCGCTTGGCGCCATGGCCTTGCTGTGCACTGCTGGCCGAAATGGTGGCTTTCCCCACCCTTTCTTCCAGAGCTCCACTGTTCAGCGTGTTGCTGCAAATTGTTGTCACCCCGAATGTGTCGTGCTTCGAGCCCCTGAGCAGGTCACGACCATGGTGATGAGCAACTTCCACAAGACGGCTGTCGCCGAAAGTCTCACAGCAGACTGTGTACAGCTGGCGTGCAGCCGCTTGAGCCAGGCCCACCTTGCCCTCCTCGTTGTCCTCATAGGTTTTCAGGTTAGGGTGTTTGCGTTTTGGGGTTTAGGTTGAAGGGCTGACCCTAGGGCCCTAGGGTACAGGCTTTAGCACACGGCTTAACCTAACCAAAACCTGGTTGCACCCTTGAAAAACCTGAATAGAAATTTGAGTCACCCTGCAGTTGTAATAACCAAGAAAGCAAAAGCGAGCCGTTCTGCTCGTGAGCCACGTACAAAGCCTTGAGAAAAGGACTGAAAGTCCCATGCATATGTTCCAGACCCTGAACCCTAAACCAATCCTAAACCAGCCCTAAACCCTAAACCAACCCTAAACACTAAACCAACCCTAAACCCTAAACCAACCCTAAACCCTAAACCCTATACCCTGAACCAACCCTAAACCCTAAACCAACCCTAAACCCTAAACCCCAAACCCTAAACCCTAAACCCTAAACCCCAAACCCTAAACCCTAAACCCCAAACCCTACACCGAGCATCCCACACCCACCCGGCCCAGGGGCAGGCGCGAAGCATCTGCTCTCTCTCGAAGACTGCCACCTGGGGTCTAAGGGTTTAGAGCCTTAAGGGTGTAGGGGTTTAGGAGTTTAGGATTTAGGGTTTAGGGTTTAGGGTTTAGGGCTCTCTTTAAAGGGATCCTTTAAAGGGATCTACAAGGGCTCCTATAAGGGATCTATAAGGGCTCTATAAGGGGTGTAGGGTTCAGGGCTCTAAGGGTTGAGGGTTTTTTTTTGAGGGCTCTTTTCCGACTGCAGGACAGTTAGGGTTGAGGGTTTAGGGTTTAAGGGTTTATGGGTTTAGGGTTTGGGGGTTCAGGGATTTAGGGGTTTATGGTTTACGGGTTTATGGGTTTAGGCTCTAGGGTTTAGGGGTTCAGGGTTAAAGGTTGGTTCATATAGCGTGCGGGTAGTTCTCTAAATCAAAGTCCCTTTTAGGACCCCTTTTGGTACTACTGTTGGGGGACCGTAGACGGGACCCTAATTTAGAGGACTGCCCCTGTTGGAACTCATAGTGTACGGGTAGTAGAGGGCCCCTATCGGGGAATTGGAGCTGGAGGTTTAGGGCTTGGGACTTTGGATTTAGGGTTAAGGGCTTATTCGTTGGGTTCAAGGGTTTAGGGAGTAGGGTGCCAGGCATCCTTAAGGCTTTTAAGGGAGGAGCACTGGGAACATGAATAAGATTGAACCCCTGCTTTCGAGCACCGTCCCGTCAGGATCCTACTCCCCTGCTTCACAAGCAGCTTCGGGAAGGGAGCTTAACAACTTAGGGGTTTGGGTCAGATGGTTTATGGTTTGGGTTAAAAGTTGAGAGTTCCTGGGTGGGGTGTCAAGGTTTAGGGTTTAGGGTTTTATGGGATGAAAGCGTAATTAATTTTTACCTCAACTGGGGCAGTGTTGGATTTCTCTAAGCCGGTATTGGTTTGGTAGTCCGTATTCGCTGTGAGTAGTGTATGGGTGGTCTTGGAGTGGGCATGTCTTTATTAGTCTACTTCGCACTACCCAGCATGCGACCTTCCGGCCACACCCCTTGACTAAACCCTAAACCCTGAAGCTTAAACCCTGATAGTAGAAGCCAGAAAGTTGGAACATTAGTATCCTCATGCCCTTAAGGTAAAGCATAAGGGGTCCTAGCACTAATCCTCCTAAACCTTTGTTCCAACATTCCGGGATCCGCTATAAGTGTAGCTAAGGACTTAGGGTTTCGGCTCCAACGGAAATTCGCCAGAGCCTGCAGAGTCGGCGCACCCACCATCTCGGACATGATTTGCTTGACATTGCTACTGACCTAGGCTGGCTGGCGTTTCGGACTCGGGATTTCGGGTTCGGGGTTTCGGCTTTGGGGTTTGGGGTTTGGGATTTAGGCCGCAGGCCGCAGTGTGTAGTGTTCAGTGCTGCCAGTATCGCTTCGGGTTTGGGTTGAGCGTGCTTATGGGTTGGGGGCTGGGCTGGCTTTGCACATAGCCTGGAACCACGAAACATCCCAGGCCCAGCAGCCTAACAGCCCTAGCTCAATATCCGAAGCAGAACAGGAAATGCTGCCGGCCTGGCCAAAGCGCCAAAACTGCAAAACCCTCAAGGCTGAACATTAAAGCCTACACTAACCTGGTCTGGCACCCTAAACCCTCCCAAAACCTCAAACCCCTAGACCCTTGAACCCCTAAACCCCTAAACCCTGAACCTCTATACCCCTAAGCCCTACACCCCTAAACCCCTAAACTCTTAAACCCCTAAACCCCTGCACCCCTAAACCCTAAATAAAAACCAAAGCCCTGAAACCCTAAACCGCTAAACCCTTCAACGTTTAAGGAAACCCTCAACAACTTCCATAATATAGGAACCTGATTAAGAAACCTTGGCCCTTTATTAGGGCTCCATATATGAATCCTACTATTTTGGGGTTATAGGCCCAGGGTTTCTTAATCAGGTTCCTACAACACCCTAAACCCTAAACCCCAAACCCCTAAACCCTGAACCCCTAAACTCTAAACCCTAAACCCTAAACCCTAAACCCTAAACCCTAAACCCTAAACCCCAAATCCTAAACCCTAAACCCTAAACCCTAAACCCTGATAGACCGGCAAAAAACCTTTCAGAAACCCGAGATCTGGAGCCCCCTCGAAGTCTCGAGGTTTCCCCTTGTGGTTCCGCAAACTCGCAGTATGCTTCGGTTCTATAAAGGGTTTGGGGTTTAGAGTTTCCGAAAATTAGGGTACCTTCTTTTAGGGTCCTTACAATAAGGATAGGGTACTAGATTAGGGTCTATATGGGTGGTTGTCAAAATTATGGTCCCTTTTCGGGTCCCTAATATAGTACGGCACCTAATATGTAGGGTTCCCAAGCAGGGACCATAATTTTGACAACCACCCATATAACTTAGGGCCTTTAGGGTTTAGAGTCTTTAGGGTTTAGGGCCGTTAGGGCTTAGGGCCTTTAGGGTTTAGGGCCTTCAGGGTTTCGGGTCATATAGTTGGTAATATCATGCATATACTATATGATATGCTGTGTTATATCAGGTTCTGAAAACACAGTAAATCAAACCCGAAATCCGATGTGGAACTTCCAGCATCGGGCATTCTCTGCAGCCGTGGAACGGCATGACTTCCCGCGCAGCTCCTCGCATTCGTTCACTCAAATCATACACTTACCCACTCGCTCAGTCACTCACTCACTCACTCCCTGCTTACTCACTCACTCTTTCTTGTATGCGCACATACATACGTACGTAAATCCATAGAAACATACATAGGTACACACAAGCAGGCATACATACAGGCAAACATACAAGCAGGCATACATACATGCATACATACGTACATGCAGGAGGCATGCAGGCATACACACACATACAAACATACAAACACACAAACATACAAACATACAAGCACACAAACATGAAAACAAACAAACAATGACAAACAAACAAACAAACAAAACATACATACCTACATACGTACATACATACATGACATACTTACATATTTACCTACCTACATACTTACTTGCATACGTTATATACATACTTACATACGTACTTACTTACATGTGCACATGCATACACCTTCACGTCCTTGTGTACAGACATTCATGCATACACACGCATACATCATACATACATACACCCATCCAGCTATGCGTGCATACATACATACATACAGACTTGCAATCTGTGTATATATATATATATATACGTATATATATATATATATATATATATACATATATATATATATATATACACACACACGCATATATACATAGACGTTTAAACACAGACATACATGTACTGGTTGATTTGCATGCACGAATGCTGACATATATGTTTGTGTGAGTGTGCTTACCTACAGAAGGATATCATAGATAACGAAAGACATACGCAGACAGATATACTATGTTGGATGTTGGTATAGATACCGGTGTGGCAATAGACATAGACTCAAACATGCACCTTTGTGTGTATGTGTGCGAGCAATCAAGAGAAATCAAACCTTGCAGCTGAATCATGGCTAAAACGCAAACAACACCAAGCCAGAACTCAAAGCTTAAATCCTTAACCTCGACTAGAAGTAGAAACACTTTTCCCTTGTCGCCCCTAAGACCTTACCGCAGATTACATAACACCCGCTTGGACTCATGAAGACACCTTGCAGTTTCAGCCGGGATTCTTCAAACAGTCCACGGGCATTAGCCCATTCCGATCTCGCTGCTCTGGCTCTGCGCGAGCTAGGAGCCTGGGTGTCCGGGCTTGGCTTAACTGGGTTTATACTTTGCGCCATGTTGAGTAGGTTGCAAAACTCGAATTTGGGTTCTGAGGGCACTGTATAGATCGTGCAAAAGACTTTACATCAAATTCGTACGCTTCAGGGTTCGGCATCAGAACCAGGCTTTGGACTTTGCCCTTAAGTGTGCGGTTCTTGATTTGGGCTTATCACTTTCCATGCAAAAAGTTTCAGGCTCAGAGCTATGGGCTTTCCTGCCATGTCTTGCCCCTGAACCCTAAACTTTCAAAGCCCTCCACTCAAACTGCCCAAACTCATCCATAAACTCAAACCCGTAAACCCTAAACCCCTAAACCCTAAACTGTCGAGCCACAGCAATCTTGCAACGATCGGTGAAAAGGAGTCCACCTGGCAATCGGGTCCGATGCTTGGCGCGGAGGTTTCCACCGGCTGTAGGGCTTGGGGCAAAAAAGATTTTGGGGTTTTGGGACTTCGGGCTTAGCTGGATCAAGAGGATCACAAAGATGGATACCTTCAAACGGGCCACACCTTGCCATATAAGCGTAGAGTTTATGGTTTTGGGTTTTGGGGTTTGAGGTTTAAGATTTTGGTGAAGCGCGGGCTCGATATCTTATATCCGTTAAAGTCTCCGGCGGGAAACTATGCAACCTTTGTGATTCGTGTGGTCAGACTTCCGGATGCACCCCAATCGAACCGTGGGTTGTCTTAACTTAGCACAAGCTACGAGCCGCGACGTAAGTTGCCATAAGGAGGTTGTGGAGCAAATTAACTGCATTCCTTATCTGGTAGCGCAATTTAATTAAGCTAGGCTGTTTGACAAGAACCACGAAAAAGGCGTACCTTGCGGTTCATGTTCAGGTTGTGGGTTTTAGGGCTTGGATCCGTGAACCCAAGAAACCTGGCAAACCTGTGAAGCACTTAGGCAACACTACCCACAGACCCCGACAAAGCCTGAACCGCACCCGGAATCCTAAACCCCAAAAGCCCCGAAACCGTAAGACCCTAAATCATTCTATGTAACATGGTATAAGCATCCAACAAAGCTATCCTGGGAGCGCTAGCAACGATCTCCTCGAGACATAGAACCTCTACATGGTTCTACCACAACATATCCCAGAAGCCTCTTCTAAGTATGAAGGGCTCCGACCTTCCACCTGGAGAAGCCTACAAACACACACAGAGAAATCCCAGGAAAACAGGCTGCACCCTAAACCCCTAAACTGGAACTCAACGTTACACCTGCAGGACGGCCAAGTGGAGAGGCGTGCGCCCTTCCTCGTTCACGGCATTTGGGCTGCATCTTCCTGCTTCCACGAACTCAAAGGGTTAAGGGTTTAGAGTAGGATAACTCTGGTTATAACCTATACTAGGGGATTTATAACCCCAGTTGTAACAACAGGAACCTCCAAGCACTTCCACGAACTCAAACAGGCTGTACAAGGGTTGCAAACGGCTGCGGGTTTACGGTTCAGGGTTTAGGGCTTTGCGTTAAGGGTTTCTTCCCTCATTGAAAATTAGGCCTTGTTCGGGCTGTGTAGGGTGTTGCACAGTGTTACACAGGCCTCAGAAGTTAATGACACTTTCTCTTGGTTATCCTTCAATATTAAAATAAGGATCTTGCAGATTAGAGCCTATATTGGTATCCAAGATTCGTGAACATCCAGACTTCCTGGTTAGCGGATATCTCAAAGTGTTTTCGTCTTCTCACAAGGTTAGGGCTGAGGGTGTAGGATTTTAGATTCAGGGTTCAAGGTATTTTTAGTTTGGAGATATTTGCAAACGCAGCAGAGGGAAAACATGTATAATTCTACGTTGGCTTCCAGGCAACATGCCTATAGTTACACTAAGGTCGCAGTGATTTTTAGTGCACTAAAATCTGAACCCTAAACCCTGCTTGCAACTACCCTCATACCCTAAACCCTTATAGATCCCTTATAGATCCCTTTAAAGGAGCCCTTATGATACCCTTAAAGGGCGTGACGGCTGCAAGCCGGGTTTCAGCCTTTAGCTTTGGGGTTTGGGGCGTGGGGTTTCGAGTTCGGGCCTTGGGCCTTGGGCTAAGAAGGGATCCTTTAGGGGCTCCTTTAAGGCATCTATATTAGGGTTTAGGGTTTGGTTTAGGGTTTAGGGTTTTTTTTTTTAGGGTTTAGGGTTTTTTTTTTAAAGTGCACTGGGTTTAGGGTTTAGGGTTTAGGGATAAGGGATCTAGAAAGGGTACTGTAGGGGAATCCGCTCCAAAGCCCCTGAAATACACCACAAGACGACAGTTAAAACCTTCTGAGCCCTCAAGGAGGCGACTTCCAACGATTCGGGCCAAAGCGGAGGATCGTGTTTCAATAAGCTTTCCCGTGGGTCATGCGAGAGTCCTGAGATTGCAACTTCCGAGAGGCTACAAAACTAGAACTGTAGGGTTTTGGGTTTTGGATGCAGGGATTAGGCGCTGCGGCCCAGTGTGCAGGTGCACGGATGGTTGCTCTTCGGACGGGTGACCGTCGACGGTGCAAGCTCAAAGCTGCAGCCGTAGGCGGCCAGTTGTTTGGGCTGAGCCCGACTTCTATACACTCCGCATCCTGGACACCGGCTGAATCATCTGGGTCCTCTTGTTTGACCACGGACGACTGGTTATCGTCACGTCGGCGGCCATGGAACAATGCCAGATGCAAAGCTGCAACGTGTTTCCGGATGGAGCGGTTCAAGGTCTTGGGTTTGAGATGGTTCAAAATTTTGGGGGCTAAACCCTCATCGTCTGCCAACCGCCTATTGACATGAAAATCTTCATGTGTGCAGTCATCTCGAGTTGCCCCTGAAACCTGAAGAAGGTCGCGGATATGTCAGGGTCCGGATTTGGGGGCGACAGGGATTTAAGTTTCAATTCTTGGGGATTATCAGGTTGGGGGTTTTTAGGGTGCCGAAAAAAAGCCCTAAACCCTGAACCCAGTTTGATGCGGCTTGGGGCCTTCCAGCAGCGTCTTGACCAAGTCGAGACGCACGCTCGACGACTCCAAAGCCACATGGAGTAAACCTGGGCGAAGAGAGTTACTGAGTTTCTACAAGGATTTCGAAGAGGGTATCCTTTTCTATCAGGGTTTCTGTTGACGGCTCTACAATAAACCAGCAACCGTAAAGTAAGACTTCCACAAAATGATTTTAGAATACACCCTAAACCCTGAAACCAGGGCTCTGCAGGTAGGTTTTTGAGGGTACCCTGTTTCTTACTATCCTGTTTTGAGAAGGAGACCCCAAAGTAAAACGGGCAAAAGGGTACTACTGAGGAGCCTAAACAGCGAGTGATGCGGGGACTCGGTTCCTCGGGCGTCTACCGGGAGATCCGACATCGAGGCATTGGGTGGGCTCGTTACTTAAAGGATCATGGGACTTAGTAACTAGGGTTATAATTAGGGTAACTCCACTTATAATTACTTATAACCCCAATAAAGGTACTTATAACCTGACTTACTAAGTCCCATGATCCTCCAAGTACAGCTGCCCAACTTTTCCAAAACCTTCATGGTATACTGGAGTTTCTGAAACTAGGGGCTCCTTATGTCGGGGCCCTTATAATAAGGATCCTACTCTTTAGGGTACTATATTAGGGTCCCTATTTTCGGAAACTCCCATACGGGCATTAAGAATTTGAAGAGTGGTTTTGGGTGCAGTATAGTATAGTCACAAGGGGAGCATAAGGGAATAACAACAATATTCCGACACACTTCTTGGATCCTGGGTCCTAGGCGTCGTAAGATGTGCTGCTTGCATGGCTGAAGCTGACCCGAAGGATTCCTCGAACAACCCATACGCTCATTGAGATGCCAAGAAGCCAAGTGAACCCTCAGCCTCCAAAACCATCGGCATCCCTAACGTGGAAGAGTCAGAAAATAAAAAAGAGCAGGCTTCACACAGGCCCCGAAATGCTACAGCTTAAGCCCAAACCCTAAAGCCTAAACCCTAAACCCTAATTACTAAACCCCAGCATGGTGGAAGCCTTGTTTGAACGACGCCTAACATGCAAAATGCAAAACTCAAGGCTTAGGCCGCCTGCCCTGCCCTGCCCTGCCTCGCTTGCTGCGTTAACAAGATTCAGCAGAGAAAACCATAGAATGAGTCTACGTGCTAAACGTTTGGGTGGTTTGGCCGCCTTGGACGGCGTGGGCTGGGAGAGTGAAAAGAAAGAGCAATTTACAATCAGGCTCCAACGACCAATCGTCAAACCACGACGCACTCGAAATTACATTGTCGCAAGATAAATCCGCCTGTGCACCACTCTACGGCAAACCCTGAACCCTAAACCTCGTGAGGCTTAGGGTATAGGGTGCAGGATTTACGGTTGAGGGTGCAAACATTTCCTCGCCAACATGAAAACATGTAAAGAAAATCGAGATAACATGCAAAAGCCCACTAGAAACCCTATGCACCGTTTGATGCCCTCACTAAACCCAACAACAACGCTTGCACAGAAACATGGAATCATCAACCCAATAATCCCAAACCTTACTAGCCCTTTGAACCCCATAAACGCTCCCAAAAACCCTGAACTCTAAACCCTATAACCCTATAACCCTAAACCCTCAGCCCCCTAACTTCCCTTCAGCCGCAGCGGGGCTTCCGGCGCCCCTTGGCACCAAGTCTTGTAGCTCCCCCTGAGGTCAGGGAAATGGTTGATGATAATAAATCCTGGGGTTCGTTTACAGGGATCTATAAGGGTACCGTTGAGGGGCTCCTTTACAGGATCTATATACATATACATATATATATATATATGCATATATATAAATGTGTATAAATGTGTATATATTCAGCCCAGAGACGGTACTTTTTGGCCCACCACTGTGAGACCTGCCACTTGGTATATACCGGCCATCGAAGACTGGGTTCCCACCAACACCAGCACGGGCCCATTCGTTTTTTGTCGTCTTTCTGCTCGGTGGGCTCGAGTTCCATGCCCACGTCGGACTCGAAGGATTCCACCGCCATTGCAGGCTGGGAGTTATTGGATAGGGCTTTGGCCTCCCCTGGAAATGGGGGTCGAAGGCAACCAGCCTGAGTGGATCCTGTTGAGAACGCAGGTTTGGGCCTCCAGCGCCTCCCATACGTCGTCCCTGCTATATAACTCCGCAGAGGAGCCGCGGTGGTGCCCCTGAGAGCAACGTGCTGCCCTGGCAAGGTTAAGCACCAACATAGCAGAAAGCAGGCAAACTTTGATGGAATTTAACGTCAAGGCCTGAGCCTGCAAAGTGCCACTCGTGAGACCTGATGCAACAGCCGCCTCTCGAAGGAACCGAAGGCTTTACGCACAGCTCAAGGGGCAAAAGGTCTCATCCTGCTTGTTCCAGGAGAACCGGTTTTAGGGGTTAGGGTTTAGGTATATAAATCCTGCATTACCCATAATAACGGATACACCATAATTCCCATAGGTTAAAGTCCTTAAGGCAATGCAGGATTTATAACATCAACAGTATGGCTTTAGGGTTCCTTTTCGTGCTCCTTTAAGGGGTTCTTTTAAGGGCTCCCTTAAGGGATCTATAAGGATTCCCTTAAGGGCTCGTTGTCAGGTTAAGGGTTGCTATAAGGGTTCTGTTTAGGTTTGGGGCTTTGGGGCTTTAGGGTTTTTTTGTTCCTTGAACCTTCGTGGGTTCCTTTAAGGAACCCGTGAGGGATGCACAGGGGTCGCTGTAAGGATTGAAATGTTTATTGGGGCTTTAGGGCTTAAGGGGCCGAGGGTTTCGGATCTTTCAGGGAGGGGTCCTTTGAGAGATCTGCGGGGATACGGTACTATAAAGGTGCTACACGGCTGTAGGGCTGTAGGGTTTGAGGGCTTTAGGGCTGTAAGGCGTTCGGGCTCTAGGGCTTAGAGGGTGGGGTCTAGGTCCCGGTTTTCTAGGGGGGTAAGAGGGAAAAAGAGCCATAAGAGCAATTCAGGCATGAATATTGATAACGCTATATACCAGTTGCATTGGTATTGACAACAACCATGCCAACCATAGCACAAAGATGCTCTGAAAGATGTTGTGTCTATCGTTTTGGCTTCTGTGGTAGCGGAATACGGCTTAGAGTGTTCTGGTCTGCAAGATCTGTTTAGGGGGGGATGAATGTTCAAGTCCAAAGTACGGAAAGGATCCTGGGGACTTAGTAACTAGGGCTATAATTTTGGTAACTCTACTTATAACTACTTATGACCCCAATTAAGGTACCTATAACCTTACTTACTAAGTCCCATGATCCTCCAAGTAGTGCCGGGCTTTGGAACCAGGTTTCAAGGCTGAAGGAGTACGCATTCAAGGCTAACGGTGTTGGAATAAACCAAAAAAGTCTCTAGGGTGTCCCGTGCGATTGGCGAGTTTGCTTTCTTGCACTTTGGGAAGAGGATAGCTTAGTTCTCAGAGGTCTCGTCTGCATGTCTGGCGTGTGATTCGATGGCTTCTCGCCAGTGCAAACCCAGTGCTCTGCCTTAAACCCCGAACCCCACACCCTAGACCCTAAACCCTAAACCCCCAACCCCCCTAAACCCCAAACCCCCAAACCCCTAAACCCCTAAACCCCTAAACCCCAAACCCCCCAAACCTTGACCCGGGGGAAACCGTAAATCCCCAAAAGGAGAAGAAGCCTCATTGAGGCTCGGATCGCCTTGCAGCTCAAGGAGCCTATCATGGTAACTTGTGCCTTAAACCCCAAACCCTTAAAGGAACCCTAAAAAATCCCTTAAAGGAACCCTACAGATCCCTTAAAGGAACCCTACGAGATCCCTTAAAGGAGCTCTTCGAGATCCCTTAAAGGAACCCTTATAGATCCTTATGGTAACTTAAACTAGCTTCCTTAACAAGAACCCCTGAACCTGAACCCTAAACCCCTAAACCCCTAAACCCCCCAAACCCCTAAACCCCTAACCCCCTAAACCCCCTAAACCCCTTGACCCCTAAACCCTCATCCCCTAAACCCTAAACCCCTAACCCTAAAACCCTCATCCCCTAAACCCTAAACCCCTAAACCCTAAAACCCTCATCCCCTAAACCCTAAACCCCTAAACCCTAAAACCCTCATCCCCTGAACAAGAGAGCCCCATGGCTTTTTTGTGCCTTTCGGCTCTCCAAGATCTTTCGCACCGCCGCCACGTCGCCGTGGCGCAAGGCTCGCAGCATGGGCTCCTAACAACTGGGTTTAGTGTTTAGGGTTTAGTGTTGAGGGTTTAGGGTTTAGGGTTTAGGGAGACTTAAGTAAGCAGGGAGGAAAAAGTATAGACTGTTAGTTCATCATGGTTCCTTTAAGGAACAGGTACCAAAAAAAGTATTCAAGTATGGTACTCCAAACCCAGGTTTAGGGGCTTAGGGGTTTAGGGGTTTAGGATTTCGTGGTGTAAGGCTTTAAGGGTTCAGGAATTTAATGTAAGTTAAACTAATAGGGATCTATCAGGGTTCCTTTAAGGGATCTTTAAGGGTCTCTTTAAGGGTTCAGGAACTTAATTTAAGTTACCATAATAGGGGTCTATAGTAAAGGTTATGGTACCCCTACGAATGCAACTTAAATTGAACCCCTTAAGAAGAACCAGGCATAGGGCGGTAGGGTTTTGTAGGTTCTCTTAATGGTTCCCCTAAGGTTCCTATAAGGGTTCGGCTTTGGCTAGCAAGGACCACAACTTGATAAAATGAAAGAAAAGCATTACGAGTAAGAATGGTTGATTATAGCAGTCACCCCGATAGCACTGGCGGTCAACATTGGGCTTTTCATTTGTTTTCCGGTGAAGGGGGTGTAGGGCTTAACAGTTTGTGTGGGTTCGAGGCTTACGGCTTGGGGTTCAGGGTTGCGGAGTCAGGGCTGGAGGCTTGCGGGTTGCAAGAGGGACGAAGAAGGCTGTATAGAGTCAGTCTGAAACAAACCATCGTCGAAGCATATGAAGCAACACCGGAGCACAGGAACCAATACGCTAAACCCGCAACCCTACTTCTATACTGGGGACTCGTGGTGCGATTATGGTTTCACAAGAAAGTCAAGACAGAGGCTCTCTGTTACGGTTTAGGACTTTAGGGCTCTAAGTTTAACGTCCTTGGGTTCAAGATCTTGGGGTCTGCCTCTTTGGATGAGTGTTGGTCTACTGGCAGGCGTTGCAACTCGAAAACCCTAAACCCTAAACCCTAAACCCTAAACCCTACTACCCGGCATGAACCGTCATCCCCCAAAACTTCTGCTACCCAAAGTTCTGACCCTCAAGCGTTTGCACCCAGTTTCCAAGCTCTTATGACCGGGACCCCCAAACTGGGTTCCTGTTAAGGAACTTAATTTTAGTTACCATGAGTTTAAGTTACCACTAATTTAAGTTACCATTATTTTAAGTTACCATTATCATTTAAGTTACCATCACAAAGGGATCTATAGTAAATAATATGGTCTCCTGATTCTGGTAACTTAAACGCTAAACCCGTATAGAACCCGTAAAGGAACCCTGAATTATGGTCGCCTAAGTTACCTTAACAAGAGCCCAGTAAGCCCTGAGCCTTGGGGGTTTGAAGTTCAGGATTTCCGGTTTAGTCGGCCTTGGGATATGTGGACATGGAGCGATCCTACCTCCGCCCTAATTTAGGGTTTAGGGGTTTAGGGTTTAGGGGTCTAGGGGTTTAGGATTTAGGGTTTAGGGCCTAGGGTTTAGGGGTTTAGCCTGAACCCTGACACTTGCCTGCGCTTGTCCTGGCTTAAAAGGCTCGGTCCATTGGCGTGGGGCTTTTAGATCGGGCACTGAAGCAGAGCTTGTGACAGAAGGTCTTTTGGGGTTTCTAAGTTTCTACTTTGCTGATTATTACAAAATCCCTGATCCTGCGCCTCGGCACCCTTACGCAAGCTTGGGCATGGATCTAGCCCAAGCCCAACGCTCGCCTTGTGCCAAACCCGACCCCCCCAAACCAGAAACCCTGAACCACCCCGCTCAAAAAAATGTACGTGGAAGTGAAGGGGTGCCTTGGGGGAAGTCGGCAGTGCAGGTGCCTGGCTCGAAGAAATCGGCACCTTCCTGCTCAGCATCGGGTTACTTGGAGGGTCATGGGACTTGGTAAGTAGGGTTATAATTAAGGTAACTCTACCTATAATTACTTATCACCCCAATTAAGGCACTTATAACCGTACTTACTAAGTCCCATGATCCTCCAAGTAAGCTTCAGGTTTAGGGCGTAAGCTTGAGGGCTTTAGGAGGATCCCTACTGCATGCCATCCACAGAGATGTTGGAGCTTCTGAGCAACTTCCAGTTTCTTACCTGCCACTTGGAGGATCATGGGACTTAGTAAGTAAGGTTATAAGTACCTTAATTGAGGTTATAAGTAATTATAAGTAGAGTTACCTTGATTATAACCCTACTTACTAAGTCCCATGATCCTCCAAGCAAACTTGACATCCAAGTGCTGAACCCTGAATGTAGTACTTTGGCTATGCGTCTCGCCAGGTTTATGTTGTGGGACCATTGTAGGATTCGGGATTGAAAGTCTGCTGCGAGGTCTCGGGTGTGGAAGGAATGACGTCTTGAGGGTGTAGCCTTTGGTGCGACAATGACGATCGGCAGTTTAGGTTCGCATGTGGTGCATACATGTGTTGCAGGTACTGCAGCGGGGCTTTCCCAGCGTTGTCTGGCGGGCTCGTCCGTCTTTTGCTGTTGCACAAGAAGACCTGGAGTTCCGCGCACCGTAGTTGAACTCTCGCCAAGGAACACGCATCCTCCAAGAATATAACCCCAATGCCCTCCAATATCCACCCACCCTAAACCCTAAATCGCAAAGACCTAAATCCTAAACCCTCCATCCCAAGCCCCAAACCCTAAACCCTAACCCGAACCAAACCCCGAAACTCCCGAAAGGTCTTCCACGATCGAAAGAACCCACTTAGAAGCCCTGATAGTTACCAGTTTGGAAACCCCCCAAGACATCTTAAACCCTAAACCCCAAACCCCAAACCCGAAACCCTCAACCTTAAACCCTCAACCTCAAACCCTAAACCCTCAACCTGAAACCCTAGACGCTCAACCTTAAACCCTAAAGCCTCAACCTCGTCCCCAAGTGAACCCCTTGGAGACCTTGGCTCGAGCCAGGTGGAGACCGCCTCAGGCCTGGTGCAGAAAGCTCATATACTTTTCTATACTATACTATACTATATAGATGGGAGTGTCGAAAATTCTTTGGGGTCCTTATAATAAGGATCCTACAAGGATCCTACTATTATTAGGGTCCCCTACTTTCGGAAACTCCCGTACCTTAACCTGCTACAGTACATTAGGATGTATCGTACTATGTTGACAAGTTGTATTTTAGTGTCGAAAAATGTTCTTCAATCACGCCATGCTATCACAACAGGCGGAGCCTCAGCCCCAAGCCCTTTTTAGGGCTCAGGGTTTAGGGTTTCAGGGCTAGGGTTTAGGGCTTAGGGTGCAGGCTTTGGGTTGTGGGATGACAGTGTTCTGAAGGCTTGCAGAGGCTGCCATGGCGAATTTTGTTGGCTCGTGTGTTGCCGGGCTGCTGTATCCCAGTTTAGGCTCTTCATGGACGTATTGGATTTATCTTCCGAGAAGCTTTTTGATATGCTCCAACGTCTTTCGAACCAAATGTTGCTGGCTCTGCAGCACAGAATGCGAAAACCCCAAAACCTTGCACCCCAAACCACGCAACATCGCCAACACCTGAAATACAAAAAGCCTCAACCTAAACCCTCAACTCTGCAGCCGTAAACCCGAAACCTGAAAGCCCCAAGCCCCGACAAAGTCCTTGCACAACCATTCTGCGGCACCCTGTAAAACACAAAAGAATCCTCATATGATTATTGCTAATATTGTAATTGGTGCTGTTTTTCTCGCTGTTGTTCTTATTGAGTTCATTTTTAATGGCAGTGGTGGTGGTGGTGGTGGTAGTAGTAGTAGTAGTAGCAGTAGCAGTAGCAGTAGCAGTAGCAGTAGCAGTAGCAGTAGTAGTAGTAGTAGTTGTTGTAGTAGTCGTAGTCGTAGTCGTAGTCGTAGTCGTAGTCGTACTCGTAGTCGTAGTCGTAGTCGTAGTCGTAGTCGTAGTCGTAGTCGTAGTCGTAGTAATAGTAGTAGTAGTAGTAGTAGTAGTAGTAGTAGTAGTAGTAGTAGTAGTAGTAGTAGTAGTAGTAGTAGTAGTAGTAGTAGTAGTCGTGGTAGTAGTGGTAGTAGTAGTAGTAGTAGTAGTAGTAGTGGCAGTAGTGGGAGTAGAAGAAGTAGTAGTAGAAGTGGTGGTCGTAGTAGTAGTAGCAGCACTAGCAGCACTAGCAGCACTAGTAGCAGTAGCAGTAGCAGTAGCAGCAGCAGTAGCAGTGCAAGTAACTAGTTAATTAAGTAGTAAGTAGTCGTAAGTAGCAGTTGTAATAAGTAGCGAAGTAGGAGAAGGAGCAGGAGTCTGAGCAGGAGTAGGAGGTAGTAGTCGTCGTAGTAGCAGTAGGTTAGTACAGTCATGGTTGTTATTATGACTACTACTCAGACTATGCTACTCAGAGTACTACCGTCGTGTTTTAATATCTCTATTCTAACTTCGGTTTTGCTGTTGGTTCTAGTATTTCTATGAGAGCAGGAGCCTGGCAGCCGACTCAGAGGGCAAGCCTGGCTAAGGCAGATGTAATGGGCACGTTGGGCTCAGGGGGTCTGGGGTTAAGGATTTTAGGGTTTTAGGGTTTAGGGTTTAGGCTTTAGGCTTTAGGGTTTAGGGTTTAGGGTTTGGGGTTCAGGGTTTTAGGGTTAAGGGCTTGTGGTGTTTAGGGTCAAGACTGGTTCAAGGCTCAGGGGTTTTAGAGTTTGAGGGTTTCAACCCTTCGGGGATGCGAGTATCCGATAGTATCCCTAAACCGTTAAGATTTCCGCTTCCGCGCGTTGTATCTAAAGCCAGGTCTCAGGCCTGAGGTTTCGCTGGGATCGATTATATTATCGCAAACAGAATTTAGATTTAAAGGATCATAGGACTTAGTAACTAGGGTTACTCTACTTATAACTACTTGTAACCCCAATTAAGGTACTTATAACCTTACTTACTAAGTCCCATGATCCTCCAAGTAGGAACCCGATGGAATGTGTTGGTACGGTTGATGATACAAATCATGCATTACCTTAAGGACCCTAAACGGATTTATGGTATATTCCTTAGTATGGGTAATGCAGGATTTATATCATCAACCGTTTTAGTTTCAGTTACCATAATCGGGATGTATAGCAATTAAGTAAGATGACCTAAACCCTAAACCCTAAACCCTATTAGAATGTGTTGGTAGTTCTTTGGGCTTCGGTATTACGCTGATCGGCCAAGCGGCAGGCCTCAACCCTGAGCCCTACACCTCGAAACCCCGAGACCCGAAACACCGGGAGGTTCAGGGTTCATATATAGACGCTAATATCGTGCCCTATCCTTGTTATAAGGACCCTGAAATAAGGTACCCGAATTTTCGGAAACTCTAAACCCTACACCCTGTATGGAACCCTTATAGATCCCTTTAAGGAACCGTTTTAGGATCCCTTTAAAGGTACCCCCTAAACCTTAAACCCTTTCTTAAACCCTTTATAGAACCCTTGTGGCTAGGGGCCCAGGGCCCCCAACTGAAACCCTGAGGCCCCTGAACTGTGCCCCCCCAAAAAACCTTCTCGACTTCTTCACGAAACCCCCCGAACTCTAGGGTTTATAGGGCTTTGGGTTTAGGGTTTACGGTTTAGGGTTTAGGGTTTAGAACCCTGAAAGGACACCTTACAAGAACCTCTGAAGGAACCCTTCAAAGGCCCAGCCTACACCTTAAACCTGAACGCTTAAGTTATTCCACCCTGAACGCCTTCAATTCGGCACAGGGCTGTGAAATCTGAGTCAAAAAGCAGAACCTTTTCGGGACTCGGGGATTTAGATCCAGAGTTGAGGGTCTCATATTTAAGCGTGTAGAGCTTAGGGTGTAGAGCTTGGGGTATAGTTAGGGTTTGAGGTTTAAGGGCTGGGGTCTGGGGTTTAGGGTTTAGGCTCAAGGTTTCTGTTTAGATTCTCTGTCTAATCAAAGATTGTACCAGTTAGCACACCTCCAGCCCCTTGGAGTCTATCTGCCTTGACCCTACACCCCTTAAACACCCCAAACAAGAATCTGAAGCCTGAACCCCCCAAATACCCTTAACCCTATCGTTTAAAAACCCTAAACCCAGAAGCCTTAAAACCAAACAAAAACCTTGAAGACTAGACCCCCTAAACCCTAAACCCCTAAACCCTAAACCAAGCCCCAGCCCTGAAAGCTAGACCGCCCCGCCAAAGCCTGGTGTCGGCGCCCCACTTGTCCCGGGGAGTGCAAAACCCTCAGGAGGCATTGCCCGCAAGGCCTCGGAGGCTTGGATTTGCCAGGGCGTTATAAGGGTCTTTCATAGCGGCTTCTAAGTTTAAGTTATTTTGGGTTGCTTTTATGCGGTTCTTCTAGGGCTGATCGCAAAGCCATGTGAAGATTTTACAAGGCTCTCTGAGGGATTTTGTGTGGGTTCCACAACAAGGGTTTCCAAACCTTTACAGAAGCCTATAAGGTATTTTGGGGAATCCTAAACCCTCACAAACCCGCAGGGGTGCGGCTCTCACTCAGAAACTTCTTTAATTTGAGCTACCCGAACGAGGAACAGCCAAAACATGCTACATTTTACTCGGTTGTTCCATTACATCTTATGGTATATCATACTATCGTATACTGTGCCAGCTACGTTGTGCTATGCTATCTTTTACCAGATTGTACGGCATTATGTTCACACTGTACTGTATTGTGATCGTTGAGATTATGTAATAGAAACCGGAACCCTGCACTAGACCCTGAACTCTGGACCCTGAGCCCAAAACTCTGAGCCCCAAACCCTTAGTCCTGCACCTTGAACCCTGAAGCCCTGAACCCCTGAAGCCCAAACCCCAAACCTTAAAGCTGTTCTTAAACCCTATGGTACCCTTCAAGGGACCCTATACAAGAACCCTATATAGCACGCCTTTAAGGGATCCCGCTATAGATCTCTACTTGGAGGATCATGGGACTTAGTACGTAAGGTTATAAGTACCTTAATTGAAGTTATAAGTAGCTATAAGCAGAGTTACCCTAATAATAACCCTAGTTACTAAGTCCCATGGTCGTTTAAGTAGACCCTAAACCCTAAACCCCATAGATCCCTTTAAGAAACCCTACAGATCCCTTTAAAGAGCCCTTTAAGATCCTTTAAGTAGAGATCTCTAGAGTACCCTTTAAGGGGACAGGGAGCCCCTGATCCCTTCGAGGCGCCTGGTAGAGGTCCATCAAGGGCATCTGCCTGAGAGCATGGGGAGGGTTTTTTTTTTTTGGAGCTCCTTTTCTCCAGTGCTGGGGAGGGGCTTAGGGTTTAAGGATTTTAGGGTTTGAGGGTTTAAGGGTTTAGGGTTTTAGGGTTTAGGGGTTTAGGGTTTAGGGTTTAGGGTTTAAGGGTTTAAGGGTTTAGGGTTCAAGGGTTTCGGGTTTAAGGGTTTAGGGTTTGGGATTTTAGGGTTTAAGGATTTTAGGGTTTGAGGGTTTAAGGGTTTCGGGTTTAAGGGTTTAGGGTTTGGGATTTTAGGGTTTGAGGGTTTGAGGGTTAAGAGTTTAAGGGTTAAGGGTTTAGGGTTTAAGGGTTTAGGGTTCAGGGTTTCGGGTTTAAGGGTTTAGGGTTTGGGGTTTGGGGCTTTAGGGTTTAAGGGTTCAGGGTTTCGGGTTTAAGGGTTTAGGGTTTGGGATTTTAGGGTTTTAGGGTCTGAAGGTTCAGGGTTTAGGGTTTAAGGGTTTAGGGTCTAGGGTTTAAGGGTTTAGGGTTTAGGGGTCAATGATTTAGGGTTGAGGGTTTACGGTTGGGTTTGCACAGCCTTTCTGGGTTCAGGTTTGAGGCGAAATGCCTTTTGTTTCCGTACGTGTGGAAGCTTACGCTTTATGGCTTAAGTGTTGGGGGTTCAAGGCCTCGGATTGAGACTTTCAGTTTAGTGTGTTGAGTGTTGGGTTCTCGATTCATGTTTAAGCATTATTTGGGTCCAGGCCTTTGGGTTCGGGTCGTTCGTGGGTTGAAGGCCTCAGTGGTTCCCTCTAAACCCTAAACCACCAACAGCCCATATAGCCTAAACCTTAAACCCCTGTTTCTTAATCCTAGACCCCTGAACCCTACACCGATCATCTCCTACCCTTCAAACTCACCCATGAGCCCTTAACCCTGAACACTATACAACCTGGTACCGTGCATCCTTATGGGAGTTTCCGCAAACAGGGGACCCTGATATAGTACCCCAAATACTAGGATCCTTAATATAAGGACCCCAAAATACGGTGAATTTTCGGAAACTCCCGTATAAGTTCAGAACTGGAAGGCTTCGAGGTTACGGTTCGGGACGGAGGGGATACTCGAAAACTCCAGGTCCCGAACCCTAAAACCCCGAAACCCTAAACCCGAAAAGCTCCAAACGCGCCAGGGCCCCGCCCCAAAACCCCCAAAACCCCCAAAAAAGCCCCAAAAGCCCCAAAAGCACTGAAACTTCAGAGGGCCAGCCTCAGGGTGATTAGGGTTTAGGGTTTAGGGTTTAGGGTTTTGGGTTTTGGGTTTAGGGTTTAGGGTTTAGGGTTTTGGGTTGTGGGATCTTCAGGTTTGAGGTACAACGAACAGAGAACATGAAACTCACTAGCGGCGGCTGTCTACGGCGTAAGGTTTGGGGTGTAGGGCATATAGTTATATTCATAACTATGTGTAGAGGTGTATGTGTATTAAACATATACATACATATATATATATACACACATGTACCAGAGAGATAGTGAAACAAGTGACAGAGAGAGAGAGAGAGAGAGCGAGAAAGAGAAAGAGAAAGAGAGCTCAGAGCACGAAGCAACTGACTTTACTGGCTCTTTGACAAGGCAGGGCATTTTCCGTGCCAGAGAACCCACGAATCGCAACCCTAGACTCGAAACCCCAGACTCCTGAACCCTACGCCTTGAATCTTAAGACCCTGTACCCGAATCGTTGCACCCTACAACATGAATCCTTCACAACCGACCGAGGTGCACAGAAAGGTTGAAGGACAGCATCTGCTGCTGCTTGGCTGCATCGAAAACCACCTGGCTCTGTAGCAGTAGACCTAAACGGGGAACAACACAAAAAATATCTCGAAAAAAAGCGAAACCCCTACAATCCCCTAAACTTTCAATCCTTGAACGCTGCACCATTTAGCCAAGACCCCCGCCACACAGAAACCCTACAGCCCAAAGGGCCCGAAACTCTTAGCTTCGGCTTTACGCGCTTAAGGTCTCGGGTTTATGGGCTTTACGGATTTAAGGTTTTGGGCGAAAAAGGGGTTTAGGTGTTTAGGGTTTAGGGTTTGAGGGTTTTACAGGTTTAGGGTTAGCGGTTAAGCATTTTACGGGTTTAGGGTTTAGGGGATTTACGGGTTTAGGGCTTAGGGTTTATGGTTCAAACGTGGGTATAGGGTTTCGGATTTAAAGGTTTAGGGTTTGAGGGTCTGGGATTCAGGGCTCGATGCTTAGGGTTTGGGGTTAAGCGGGTGTAGGGTTTAGGGTTTAGGGGGATCCAGGGTTTGATGCTGAAGGCTGCATGTTCGGATTCGAGGCTTTTGGCTGAGCCGGCTCAGAGCTAGTAAGGGTCTTGTGGTCAAGTGATTCGCCACAGGATGGTGGTAACCGTCCACCATGATAACATAGAGATCACACTCAGGACGAGTGGCCGCTCCGTTTGACGGAAGACGTACAACTGGATGGTGTAGCAAGCAAGGTAAAACAAGAAAGCCACGATCACGATAACCACCGATAGCAGCACGTCCAAGCACCGCCTGCAGCATCGTTTTCTCCAGCGGTAACACAAACGGAAGACCAGTTTGTCCATCATGGGGAAAATCGCCAGTGCATAAGTGAGCCCCTGAACCATCTCGACTAGAGCTAGGATTGGATCGCTTGCCTGGCGAGCGGCATACTCAAGTTCGAACCACATGTACGGAGTCGTAACGAGAAGGCAGCGCTGATACGACAGGGCTCTATATGCAAGCTGTTCCACAACGGTCGTCCGCACATCGGACTGCACTTGCAGCTCAAAGCTGTCGAGTGAGCCATACCATGCAGCGATGCTCTGAAAAATGATCGCGCGGTCGCACAAGCCGTCGTCTTCATGGCCAGCTTCGCAGCAAGCGCTTTTGGTGTGCTCAACCTTGAACTCACGGAGTTGCTCTTCTAACATGTCCACGCTGCGGGCATATGCCCGAAGAGCATGCGTCACAAAGCTGAGGAATAGCAGTGCTAGGCCGCCACCCACCGGCAAATGGAGTACTCCCACAAGCATCGACTCTTCCGAGGAGGAGGTCACGGCGGCCTCTATGAAGGTATACGTCATGCCTGCTACCCAGATGAGCATCAAAGCTCCCAAAAGCATAAGCCCCAATAAAGGAGGGACCATCTGCAGGCTTGCCTTGCCTTTGGGACGACTGTGTAGGAAGGCAGCGATTTCAAAAATACACCACCTTACTTCTCCAAGGGGCCGGCTCTTTGGAGCCTAGGGTTTTTTGTTGGGGTTTAGGGTTTAGGGTTTAGGATTGAGGGTTTAGGGTTTAGGATTTAGGGTTTAGGGTTTAGGGTAAAGTGCACCTACGCTTCACGATGGCTAATGTTGGGAGCCTTTCCAAACATAGAAGATCGGTTCAGCCGGAGTCCCCATGCAGTCTAGGGTTTAGGGTTTACTTGGAGGATCATGGGACTTAGTAAGTAAGGCTATAAGTACCTTAATTGGGGTTATAAGTAGTTATAAGTAGAGTTACCCTAATTATAACCTTAGTTACTAAGTCCTATGATCCTTTAAGTAGGGCTCCCAAAATCCCAAAGTCCAAAGCGTAAGACCCTTGCAAACCGCAAGCCCGAGACAATGCACCCCTCGAGTCTCCTAGAGAGAACCCAGAGAGCCCAATACCCCTTAATTAAGGAATATAGCTTTAATCATAATATGAACCCTATATCATTTAAGCCATGTTCCTTAATTAAGGGGTATCGGGCTCTCTGGGAAACCCACATGAGCCCGGCAACCGGCACCAAGCTACAAGCCCGACTTGCAGCCGCAAATACTCCCATGCACGGGCCAAGCCCGAAAACTGACAACCCAAACCCGGCGCCAATTCAGTCAGACGTACATACACATGAACATATGTATGTACGTGCCATTGTTGAAGGTAAGTGTTGCACTAACTTTGCTGCAGGAAGATTAGTGGGAAGTGGTCGACAAGACTAGGAGAATCCAGGTCGCAGTCTTCCCACCCACGTTGGATCCCACAGCACCAGCATGGAGCTCGACTGCTTCAGAAAAGCACCCATGCTCATGAGTGCTTCTCCTTTCCTGCCTTCATCAGTTTGATGAATGCATGCGATGTCTAGAAACACCAGCTTTTGCGGACGCCACAGCAGCAGGGTGATAGAAAAAGCAGCGAAGCCGAACAGCTGGCACCATCTCCCTTGTGTACCCAAAAATCCCGCAGAAACGAGGCCGAATCCGAAGCTTGCACTCAATGTGCCTGCAATACTGCTTGGAGGATCATGGGACTTAGTAAGTAAGGTTATCAATACCTTAACCGGGGTTATAAGTAGTTATAAGTAGAGCTACCCTAATTATAACCCTGGTTACTAAGTCCCATGATTTTTTTAAGTTGACGGCATGCCACTAGATAAATTAGGGTACCTTATTTTGGGGTCCTTCTAATAAGGATCCTACTATTTAGGATACTATGTTAGGGTCCCCTCTTTTCGGAAACCCAAGCCTGCAATGCTTGCCGGCATGCCATTGTGCAGGTAGACTATGTTGATGTACTTGGTCCAGCTTGCCCGTGCCAGCTGTGGGACCAAAACTGATCGAGGTGTGATGCCTGCTGACTGAGTGCAAATAGATGGTCGAAGCTGTCTCGTAGCCAAGCCGACGGCAAGTGATGCAACAGCCGCCAAACACGGACACCATGCAGTATCTCTGGCCGCGTCACCTTCATCTCGTTGACAAAGGATACGTACATTTGCAGCAGCTGGCCAACCTTGTCTTGATCTTCATCTTTCTCTGAAACTTCGGAAAACTCAGATGTATTGTAATCCTCAACGCCGGGCTCGAGCTTGCCCAACACTGTGGGGCCAAAATTGTCTTCATCTGCATCTTTCTGCGAGGGTTGTGGAACTTCGGACGGAATGCGGTCGTCTGCCGGCGACAAAGCTGGAAGAATCTCCCCTGGCCCTCCCCGCTCCGGAGCAGAGCTTTCTGACATGGCTGTCAAGGTGGTGAGAGACTAACCCTGACGGTCCAAAGGGCCCAACTAGGTACTGGGAGGGTTCAGGATCGTACTTGAGTAGGCTGAGATTTGAGAGAGTGTACGATGATGTCGTACTTGGACACCGCTTTCGTCGAGTTCTTCCACCCTGCTGTGTGCCGTAAGTCTGTGAATTTCCAACCCCAGCCCCAACGCGTCTTAAGAGCACACAGAACCACAATACAAACAACATCTTTCATAATCCCTTAACACCCAGACCCCTACGCCCTAAACCCTGGACCCACAAACCCCTAAACACTCAATCCCCTGAACACTTATACCCCTGAACCTCTCGAACCCTGAACCGTAAATCCTGCACCACCGACTCCCTGACCACAAAACTTCTGAAACCTAAACCCGTCTTGTGGTTCTTTGCCCCATCGGAGAGTGATGTGCATGGCACCCAGATCTTCCAAATGCCCCAGTTAGGGTTTAGTTAGGGTTTAGAGCTTAGGGCTTTGGGAGAGCTTTTGGGTCATAGGATTCTTCACATGCTTTGCCTGGGATGCTCCTCCTCACGTAGGTCTGCTTCCAGAAGGCTCCATACGTAAGGTGTACTGGAACGAAACCCTAAACCCTAAATCCTGAACCCTGAAGCCTAAACCCTAAACCCTGAACCCTGAACCCTAAACCCTGAACCCACCGTTCGGGTTTGGGAATTCTGGCCGGGTTCCGAGGGTTTAGGGCTTGGGCTTCCGGGTTTGTTTTAAGTGCAGCGACCCTTTCACGGTTTAGGGTTCAGGGTTTAGGGTTTACCAACAATGGGAATTATAGTACATTCCTTATGAGGGGTAATGCAGGATTTATATCATCAACCGTATGAGACAGCGCTTCCTTACCAAAGGAGTATTACATGCAAAACTGCAGGCAACCTTTTTAGGTTCTCTTTAGGGTTTTCGGGCTCTAAGAGGGGAGAGGCACTTGGCCTGTTGAGTCTTGGGCGCAGGATTGAGGCCTTCCTATCTTCGGTCTTGGATTCTAGCTTGGCGGGTTCAGGGCTTTGCGTGCAGCTTTGGGGGGTTTTAGTTCAAGACGGACCCGATGTAGAAAGGGTCGGTATCACATGTAAACCTCCGCCCCAAACCCTAGACCCTAAACCCTAAACCAAGCCTCCATGCCCCGTGGCTGTGCATCGAAGCTTACAGACAAAGTCGCCATGGCGCTGGCGCTCAAGGCTCTCAGGGTCCAATGCCCTATGCATACGATATGTTCATATACGGGAGTTTCCGAAAATAAGGGGTACCTGATTTTGGGGTCCCACTAATAAGGATCCTACTCCCTAGGGTACTACATTAGGTTCCCCTATTTTCGGAAACTCCCGTATACGCTTCCAGGTCAATCCTCCTGCCCCGGATGGAGTCTTTGGGGCTTGAGCTCTAAACCCTAAACCCTAAACCCTAAACCCTAAACCCTAAACCCCAACCCTCGTGCGCGTTCTTGAGGATTTCGGGCCGGGGGGTCCCAGAAATGCAGAGGTTTAGAACTCCAAAGTGACGGGTTTGGAGGTTAAGGGTTCTGGGTCCGAAGCCCTATAATCTAAATCCTGGGCATTGTATAGGGTGGCTCCGGCTTTTGGGCGGGGAGGGGGGCGTATCGTAGGATTGAGGTGCCTTCATAACATTCATCCAGCAGTTTAGGGTTTTGCGGAAACTGTATGATCCATTTTGGGTCCTCTCTTGTTTCTGAAACATCCGCATGCCTGTACAATCAATCGATTGTGCCGCTAGCTGCAGCGAGACACAGCGGCGATGAGACACTGGTACGAGGTTGCTGAAACACCACACAATACTGCGAAACCCTACAAACAAGCCCTAAACCAAAGAGGCTTCACTACCCCCTAGTAGTAGTAGTAGTAGTAGTAGTAGTAGTAGTAGTAGTAGTAGTAGTAGTAGTAGCAGTAGCAGTAGCAGTAGCAGTAGCAGTAGCAGTAGCAGTAGCAGTAGCAGTAGCAGTAGCAGTAGCAGTAGCAGTAGCAGTAGCAGTAGCAGTAGCAGTAGCAGTAGCAGTAGCAGTAGCAGTAGCAGTAGCAGTAGCAGTAGCAGTAGCAGTAGCAGTAGCAGTAGCAGTAGCAGTAGCAGTAGCAGTAGCAGTAGCAGTAGCAGTAGCAGTAGCAGTAGTAGTAGTAGTAGCAGTAGTCAGTGGTAGTGGCAGTGGTAGAGCAGTAGCAGTAGCAGTAGCAGTAGCAGTAGCAGTAGCAGTAGCAGTAGAGTAGCAGTAGCAGTAGCAGTAGCAGTAGCAGTAGCAGTAGCAGTAGCAGTAGCAGTAGCAGTAGCAGTAGTAGTAGTAGTAGTAGTAGTAGTAGTAGTAGTAGTGGTGGTAGTAGTAGTAGTAGTAGTGGTAGCGGTAGCAGTAGCAGTAGTAGTAGTAGTAGCAGCAGTAGAAGTAGAAGTAGTAGTAGTAGTAGTAGTAGTAGTAGTAGTAGTAGTACTTGTTGTTGTAGAACTAGGAGTAGTAGTAGTAGTAGTAGTAGTAGTAGTAGTAGTTGTTGTTGTTGTTGTTGTTGTTGTCGGGGTTGTGGCAACAGCCGAAGCAGTGGCAGTGGCAGTAGCAGTAGGAGTAGGAGCATGAGTGGTAGCAGTAGTAATAGTAGTAGAAGTGGTAGAAGTAGTAGTAGTAGTAGTAGTAGTAGTAGTAGTAGTAGTAGTAGTAGTAGTAGTAGTAGTAGTAGTAGTAGTAGTAGTAGTAGTAGTAGTAATAGTAGTAGTAGTAGTAGTAGTAGTAGTAGTAGTAGTAGTAGTAGTAGTAGTGGTAGTAGTAGTAGTAGTAGCAGTAGCAGTAGTAGCAGTAGTACGTAGTAGTAGTAGTAGTAGTAGCAGCAGGAGTAGCAGTAGTAGTAGTAGTAGTAGTAGTAGTAGTAGTAGTAGTAGTAGTAGTAGTAGTAGTAGTAGCAGTGCCATTTCCCTGGCAAAACCCTAAACCCTAAACCCCTAAACCCTAAACCCTATATAAACCCTCAACCCTCTGAGGAGGGATCTTCCAGAGACATCTGCCTTCGGCTCCACATCAGCTCGCTCTCTGCAAGCTCCTGGGAGTCGGGCTACATGGGAGCTTGTACAAGACTAGGGTTTAGGGTTTCGAAGAGTAGGGGGGTCTACTTAAAGGATCATGGGACTTAGTAAGGGTTCTGAAAGGGCTCTTTGAAGGGATATATAGGGTTTCTTAAAGGGATCTATGGGGTTTAGGGCTTAGGGTCTACTTAAAGGATCATGGGACTTAGTAACTAGGGCTATAATTAGGGTAACTCTACTCTACTTATGACTACTTATAACCCCAATTAAGGCACTCATAACCCAAGTTACTAAGGCCCATGATCCTCCAAGTAGGCTTGTCCAGGGAGTTGTGGCCTGGGCTTCGAAAAGTTCCAAAAGGCTTTAAGGCGGATTTTGTCTTGTCGAGAATCAGGAGCTCCTTTTCAGGGTTCCCGGCTTTACAGTAACGACCTGGGATTTATGGCTGTAGGTCTAGAGCCCAACCTTCTCCTAAGTTGTAACTTCAAAAAACCTAACACACCCGCCAAAAAATACACCTTATGGAACGCTACTCAGAACCGCTGATGAACCAAAACACTGAACCCTTACGTTTAATCACCTGGAAATCTCTGCTTGTAGCTACCTGGACCCCCAAAGTATGTAGAAAAATAGCCTTTTTGTGTGTATTGGGCCATGATTTTACCTACTTTGGGGGTTTAGGTACTCATGAGCCTTCGAGTAGTTTGTCCTGAGCCCGCCTGCTGCGCCTTTTCCCGCTCCCGGCGCCAGCTCTGTAGCTCGGGCTGCCGTGCCTCCTGCAAACTACGGTTGATGATATAAATCCTGGGGTTCCTTTAAAGGGATCTATAAGGGTACCTCTAAGGGATCTAAAGGGGTTTTAGGGTTGAGGGTTTAGGGATATAAACCCCACATTATCCATAACAGGGAATATACCATAATTCACATAGTTTAGGGTCCTTAAGTAATGCAGGACTTATACCATCAACAGTAGGGGATTAGGGCTGCGAACCCTAAACCCTGAAATACAAACCCTAAACCATAGACAACTCCAGTCGAGTTGTATCGGATTTGTTAACACTTTAGGGCGGCAAAAGCCAAGGAGTTTGAGGAGCATGTGGGTTGATGAGACTCCGTGCAGAATTAGGGAGGGGACTGGATTTCAATGCTTAACAGCGCGTGCGTGGAGCACTCACTCTCTCTCTCTCTCTCTCTCCCTCCCTTCGCCTAGTGAAATTGGTGTGAGATTTCCAGTCACAACCTCACCCTGAAACTGCTGATGGACAAAATCCTGCATGACCCTAAGGACTCTAAACTATGGGAACTATGGTATATTCCTTATAAAGGGTAGATGCAGGACTTTGTCCATCAACAGAATCATTGCACCCGGGCCTGCGGCCTGGGCCTCAACCCTGAACCCTAAACTCCGGACCCTCTACACTCAAGGGGAAAAGGAGGGACCCTTAATGGGGACCCCTACCCCTATAATGGGCTATATAATGGGTACGGTATATAATAGCTATATTAAGGGTACATACCTAGGGGTCCTTATTAAGGGTCCCTCCCTTTACCCTTGGATACACCCAGTTCAACCTGCGGAAACCGAAATAGACCTTGTCAACCCCCATGAAGCGACCATACACAAAGCACTCATGACTTAGGATTCAGGGTAACCCTGAACCTCAAAGCCTCACCATAAACCTCAACCCTTAACCCTGAGCCACATACGTTAATCAAGTCTTATGTTAACCTTGTATAAGCCTCCAAAAGCCCGTTGACGCCTTCCTTTCCAGAGCGGCACGGAGGTCTGCACCCCGGGCCACCTCTGCCTGACGGCCCAGGGATTCAAGGCCGTCCGAGGTTTAGGGTTTATTTCTTGTTTTTGTTTTAAGGGCCCTTTGCCGGGTTTAGGGTTTTAGGGTTTTGGGGTTTGGGGTGTGGGCGTTTTGGGGTTTCGGGCCCCTGGTGGTTTAGGGCTGCGGGGTTGGGGTTTGTCGGTGTCTTAGCTTTGGCTGTGGGGTTTAAAGTTCAAGGTTCAGAGGTGGCATAAAGCTGTGAAGGCAGCTTCGTTTTTGAAGCCGGTGCTACGACTGCTTCGGGAGCCTGGGATTTACGTATTGAGGGCATGGGGATTGTAGACGTTTGGGATTTTGGGTGTGCCTGAACCCTAAAACCCAAACCGTACACGTTGGGATTTAGGCTCTAGCTTTTAGGGCTCAGGTGGCTTGCGGCTGAAAATGCTGAAGGTTCTTGGGTTGGGGCTTGAGGTTTTGAAACGCTTTGGTTTCAGTGTTGGACCCCCATTTTCGGCAGAGCTTGCTCAAGCCCTGCGAAGGAGGCCCCAGAGATCAACCCAAAACGTTTATGTCTTCAACCGCAAAGCCCTAAACCCCGGACTAATCAAACCCTGAAACTAAACTCCAAAACTCTAAAGAAAACCCTGAAGCTAAACTGCTAAGCTCGAAACCTTGCACCCCAAAGAACCCCTACGGTTGATGATATAAATCCTGCATTACTGACAATAAGGAATATACCATAATTCCCATAGTTTAGGGTCCTTAAGTATCATCAACCCAAACCCTAAAACCCTATAGATCCCTTAAAGGAGACCCTTGAAGGTACCCTTATAGCTCCCTTTAAAGGAACCCTAGGCCCTAGGATTTATATCATCAATCGTATGAAGCGCCGAGAGTGCCTCGTAGGCTTTACGCAAGCGCTGCTCCTCTTCTTTGGAGGTCCTGACAAAGGGTGCTTAAGTCGGTTTTTTAGGTTTTTTTTTGAACCATCGTGTCTTTTCACCTTGCGGCATCCAGACTACCGTACCGGTTGAGGGAGTTGGGGACGAAGGACTTGTCGGTTTAAGGTTGAGGGCTTAGGGTCTTTTTTTGAAATGCAATGCCCTTTTCCTTGCGTCCAAGGGTCCGGGCTTAGGGTTTAGGGTTTAAGGTTAAGCGTGTTTAAGTGATTTGTCTCGCTTGTACCGGTGGTTGCTGCGGCTTTAGGATGCTTTTAAAGCTTTTAGAAGGGGTTCTTTCGGGGTGTGCCAGGGCTTCGTGAGTTTAATACAGGGCCCTTCATCATTTGAACAAGCTCTCGGGGTATTTTATTGCACAAACCTATAGAATGACGATATTCAACAAGAAAAGGCTAAAGAAAACAACATACAAAATT